TTGTCGCATTCCGGACCCCACTGTGATCGTGAGGCGGAATTCTTCAACATCTTGAAGAAAGGAGAGCATTTATCCGCTGCCCTTGGAATGAATCTGCTTAAGGCGGCCATCTTCCCATTGAAGGCCTGGATTTCCTTGACCGTGCTGGGCGGCTTTTGGCTGCGTATTGCTTCGATCTGCCTTGGGTTTGCCTCTATGCCCCTGCTAGTGATCATGAAGCCCAGGAACTTTCCCGCTTTGGCCCCGAAGACGCACTTTAGAGGGTTTAAGCGGAGGCGTTCTCTTCTGAGCGTCTCGAACGTTTCTCTCAGATCAGCTAAGTGGTCTGACTCCTTCTTGCTTTTAACCAGGACATCGTCAACATAGGCTTCCACGTTTCGCCCCAGCTGTTTCTGGAATACCGTGTCGATCATCCTTTGGTAGGTTGCTCCTGCATTCTTCAGTCCAAAAGGCATGACCGTGTAACAGAAATTCCCCATGTGCGTCATGAACGCGGTTTTCTCTTGGTCTTCCTCCGATAGGCGTATCTGATGGTAGCCTGAAAACATATCCAAGAAGCTGAGGGTTTTGTGATTGGCGGTGGCGTCAATCAGCTGATCGATCCGGGGAAGGGGGTATGCGTCCTTGGGACAGGCCGCATTGAGACTTGTAAAGTCTATGCACATCCTCCACAGCCCGGACGCCTTGCGTATGAAAACCGGATTGGCTAGCCACGTCGGGTACTTGACCTCACGGATAAAGCCGGCCTTCAGCAAGCGCTTCACCTTTTCTTCTAGCGCCATTTGCTTTTCGAGCGAGGCGTTTCTTCTCCTTTGTTGCACCGGTCGAGCTTCGCTTCTCACCGATAGGGAGTGTTCGGCCAGTTCTTTCGGGACGCCCGGCATGTCCTCCGATGTCCAAGCGAACAGATCTTTGAATTCCTTGAGAAGGGCTATGAGCTTCCGCGCCGGTTCTTCCGTGAGGTGAGCTGCGATTCTGACCTTTTTCTCTGGCTCTTCTTCGTCAAGGACGACCGCCACATCCTCCTCGGCCGCCTCCGGACGTGGGTGACTTCCTCGCGAGTCCACTTGGTCCACCTCCAGGTTCCTGATGGTAGCCTGGTAGCATTCCTTGGCCTGCTGGGAGTCCCCGCGGACGTGTCCCACCTGGCCCTTGGTGGGAAACTTAAGCATCTGATGGCAAGTGGAAGCGACCGCCGAGAAGGTCGACAAGAAGCCACGCCCAAGAATGGCGTTATAGGCAGACGGGCAATCCGCGACATGGAAGTCCATGAGGCGCGTTTTTGTCGCCCCCGGCTCGCCTATTGTCACCTGGAGGGTGATAGAGCCGAAGACTCGAACTTTGGATCCAGAGAATCCCACTAGGCTGGTAGTGGAGGGCTTGAGGTCCTGTATCCCACGCTTCATGCTCTTGAGCGTGGAATAGAATAGGATATCTGCGGAGCTTCCGTTGTCAACCAGGGCCCTGGTGACCTTGAATTTCTTTGTTCTGAGGGATATGACCAGTGGGTCTTCCCCGCATTCCCCGGGCGCTAGCTCGGATGGAGAGAAGTTGATCTCAACTTGCTCCTTTCTGTGGACATTCATGCACTGGACCAAGTGGTCTCCTTCTTTCCGAAGGCGTTTGTGCCCCCCGGCGATGGTTATGATCTCGACCCCATCTTCTTCCTCTCGCCCGTGAATCGGGAGAGGAGCATGCCTCGGGGGGGGGGGGGGGGGGGGATAGGCGCTCCCTCCGCGGCGTCCGCTCTCTCCTGGGCGATCTTGATCTCCGACGTCTGGGCGTGCGGAATCGCCTTCTCGGGCTATGAGACCTTTCTCTTTCCCTGGCTCCCTCTCTGGGGTGTGCCCGTGTGTCCAGGCGGTTTTTCAAATCCCCTGGGGCCAGGTATTTCAGGCTAGCTTTGAACTCCCGGCACTCTGTGGTGTCGTGGGTTGGGAGTTGGTGCCAGTCGCACCACTTCTGGTCGTCCTCTCTTCTTTGTCGGGGACGCGCTTCTCGAGCTCTGCCTCCTTCTCGGCGCCCCTCTTCCTCTTTCTCAGAAGAGAATACCTCGCGTCTCCCGTCCCTGTTGCTGAATCGTGGCTTATAGCCGCGTTTTTCGGGCGAGCGCCCCCTTCGCTTTGGCGACACGTTCCTGCCCTTCTCTGTCTTGCCCGCCGGGTGCGCTCCTTTCACGTTTTCTTCGGCATTGAGCGCTTCCTCCAGGACTATGGCTTTGCGTACGACGCGGTCCAAGTCCTGCCATGATTGGATACTGTGCTCCTTTTTTATGAGAGCCCTCTTGAGCTCGCGGCTGTGTGTTGACATTCTCAGGTTTCCCGCGGCCACGCTGGTAGAGACGTCTCTGACTTCACATGCTATGGTGTTCCACCGATCATAGAAATCGGCAAGGGTCTCCTCCTCTCCTTGTTTACAGTTTATGAGGGCCGATATCGTGAGCTGCCGTCTTCGCTGAGACGCGAACTTCGATGAGAAGAGGGTAGCGAACTGCTCGAAGCTTTCAATAATTCCCGCTGGCAGAGATGCGTACCAGCTTCTGCATTGCCCTCCGAAGGTGACTGGAAACGCTTTGCACAGATCCGAGTCTGAGGCGTTTATCAACTGCATCTTGAGCATGAAGGCGCTTAAATGGTCTGACGGGTCCGAGTTTCCTGTGTAGGTGGGCAGCCCCAGCGACGAGAAGTTCGTGGGCACCTGGGTTTTGAACAAACTCTTCGCCAGCGGGTTGTGTAGCACGTTGTACCCCCTAGGCCTTCCATACCCGGGTCGCAAGTTTTCTTCGAGGAGGTCTAGGTGGGCGCCTTCGGTATTCTCTTCTGTCTCAGACTCGCCTCCTTCCGTCGGAGGGGGGCTGGGCGGAGCGTCTCCTTCAATGCCTTTACCCTTGTCGCCCTGCCTCCTTGAACCTTCTGGTTCGTCTCTGTTTCGGAGCATGGTAAGGATCTGGCTCAGGCTTTCTTGCATACTGGAGATCTGTTGTCCCTGGTCCTTCACCTGCTCCTCCATGTCCTTTTCTTCTTCGACCGTTGGCATTTCCAGCCCTCTGGTGACTTCTCCTCCGACCACATCCTTCACTGGAGTTCTAAAGTTTCCGTCCATCCCTTCTCAACGCTTCGCTCCGGCCCCACGGTGGGCGCCAAATTGTTTGTGCCTAGTAAATACTAGGCGGTTTTGTGGAGCTGGGGCGAGGCGCCTATATCGGGATGACGGAGTGGCTTCAGATATCCTGCAAAACAAGGGTCCAGGGCGGTTGCCCGGGACACTCTCCGACGCTCAAGTTAGACAGAGAAGTAGAAATAGAATGTATTTATGATAGAGAGAGAGATAGTAGTTGGCCTTACCATTAATGCACTCACCCTCTATTTATACCTGGTTGAAGGGTGGTTGGGGCATTAAATGCTGTGTCGGGTGCCTCAGACCTGGTCGGGCGCCCATTCAGGCTTTTTGGGAAATGTCAGGCGTCCTGGGCAGGTTTTCAGCCTTTCTGCAGGCCGCCTGTGGCGGGAAATAAATGCTCAGTCTTGCCTGACACCAGATACGCATCTTCAACGGCTCTCTGCCCCTCTGCGATGCTCAGTTGCTTTATGTCAGGCGCCCTTATCTTAGCCCTCGGGTTTGCAGTCGATCATGGACCGCCCGCTGACCTGGTCTTTCAATCGGGCCTGGCCTCCTTATTGGGCCTTCAACTCCGACTCGCCTCTCTTGGGCCCAAAGCCCAAGTACGCTCAACTACGCGGCCCAACAGATGGCGACGGTGATTTGGACTGACGACAGGAGCCAGGATCTGGATTTTTTCATTCATAGAAGAGCAAGGTGGATTGCAGCGGCATAGGCGATAGTGGTTACGGCCGGCCGGAGATTACGACGGCGATGGTGATTTTTAATTGATCATTTTGAACGACGAACAGGGAAGAGCGGGGACTGGGGACTCGGGGAAATAGATAATTTAATTTGTTTATTTTACTTTATTTTTATCTGATCACATTTGAATCAATTCTTTCTTACCAAACCGGTCAGATTAATTGCCGGCACAATAGAATTTCCGAAATTTAGAAGTTACCCAATATCTTATATTTTCAAAAAGTGTGGCCAACATTTTGGAAAAAAATTGAAAAGTTTTTTTTTTTGTCAAAAGATATCATATATTGATCGAAAAAAGAGACAGTTACATCCTGGAAATCAGCCAGGTCTGAAAATCAAAGAAGCGACTCATAGTCGGATACAAAGAGAGGGCTTTCCTAGCTACCAAATGAGCTACCCTATTGTTCTCCCGACCTACAAAACGCACACTAAAGCCAGGCTGAGTCCGTAAATAATGAGCAACCTCTTCCAGAACAGCGCCCAACCGGCTATCTCTCGTGTCAGCTTGATTAAGTTTGTCAATAATCACCTTTGCATCGCCCTCAAAACGGACCTCCGACAATCCTTGCTCGATACACCATATAATAGCATCCCTCAAAACAAGTAGCTCCACCACCCCAGGATCATCCATTTGAGCAAACTGAACCCCTCTTGTCAGAAGGAGCGTCCGCTCTGGGTCAAAAAGAACCATCCCACCGGCTAGGGATGACAATGGGGCGGGTTTGGGACGGGTTTGCTTAAACCATCCCCATACCCATCTTCAAATACCTAAACCCATACCCGCCCCATACCCATGCGGGGAATGTTTTGCAAACCCATCCCCATACCCGTGGGTTTCGGGTACCCATGGGTAATACCCATACTCGTACATCCAACATTATTATACCTAAAACTTACAAGAAAAGTTCTAATTATAATTCTAAACGAACATATTATATCATGAAGTGAATAAAACACGGTCATTTTTTAATATGGTTCAAAGATTATGATCCTAAAATATCCATTAATACATAATATAGAGTATAATATTTTTCAAATTATTATGTTCTAACTCTGATACATCTACTAAATAATAATTAACTAAAATAATCTTGTTGACAAGGGGGAAAGTGAAAGAGTGAAATGAGAATTGAGAGAAATGAATTAGATTTTGATTAAGGTGGTCAATCAATTGCATTTCTACTATTTATTTTCTTAAGTTATCCTCATCATCATTGATAGATTATAATTTGATGCACATATTTTTTTTTATATATGAAGAAATTATCTTGGTGGGGCGGGTATGGGGATGGGTATGGGGCGGGGGAGGCTAAAACCATATCCGCCCCATACCCATCAAACTTTTTGCGGGTTTTACCCATACCCGCCCCATACCAGGTCAAAGCGGGGATTCCCCGCGTTGACTAGGTCGGGGGCGGTCGGATACCCGCGGCCATGGGTTTGATTGCCATCCCTACCACCGGCCGAATGCGACCCCCTCTTAGTAGCTCCATCCCACATACAAACCAAATGAGAATCTCCCACTTGTGATGTAGATTGTACTATCGGGAACGGCGTCCTCGGTATCTGGTCCGATGGAAGGGCCGTCCATTCCTCATACTGCTGATTAAACTGGCGCATGAGTGCCGGGATCCCGAATTGTTTACCTTCAAAGACTACCCGATTCCGAGATCGCCAGATCCTCCAAAGGATGGCAACAACAACCATTACCACTGTCGGCTGATGGACCAAACCCAGCAGACGTTTGAGAAACAATTGAAAAGTTTTCTTAAGAAGGCGTTTTATATATTGTTTTGAGGCTATGATATAGAGAGCGGATCCCATGACTAGGGGGGGTCCTTAGTCACTTGACTAAGCCCCTCCTAGCCATTAGATCTGGACACTTCAATCTAATGGTTAAAAAGTGGGAAGGGCTATTTAATTAATGACAGGGGTAGTTTGGGTATTATGGAAAATTACAAAGTATACAAACTGGATTTACAATCAGTACAAACCAAACAAACATACGAACAGTACAAACTAGAGCGACAAAACATACAAACATTACAAACGTATGAACTGTACAAACAATACAAACTAGACCAACAAACAATACAAACCATACAAAAAGAAAAAACACCCGGGTTGACTTTGGAGGCTCCATCCCTATATAGAGGGGCTCCTTCCCAAAGTCAACCCGGGTGTTTTTTAGACATACAAACAGTACGAACATGGTGGACAAAAATGACAAACTATACCGACAATCCATACGAACTGAAAAAACACCCGGGTTGACTTTGGAGGCTCCATCCCTATATAGAGGGGCTCCTTCCCAAAGTCAACCCGTGGTTGACAAAAATGATAAACACGGTACACAAAAATAACAAAGTTTACAAACATTACAAAATAACAAAGCGTACAAACATTACAAAAAAACCCGACAAACATTACAAAATAACAAAGCGTACAAACATTACAAAATAAACCGACAAACAATACAAAGCATACTAACAGTACAAAATCTCTCTCTCTCTCTCCTCCCTCCCTACCCCTCTCTCTCCCTCCCTACCTACCTACCTCTCTCTCTCTCCCTCCCTCCCTCCCTCTCCCTCCCTCCCTCCCTCCCTCCCTCCCTCCCCCTCTCTCTCTCTCTCTCTCTCTCTCTCTCTCTCTCTCTCTCTCTCTCTCTCGTAGCTGTTGGGTTGGGTTGGGAGGATAAAAACTTGTTTGGATGGGTGGGGAAATTAATCCCATGGCCCTGGGAACAGAGGTGCAGGTTGCCGGGAAATGCCCAGGAAACGGGCGCGCGGATGCGGACGGCCTTCGCCGGAAAATGCTCAGGGAATAGGCGCGCGGATGCGGACGGGGAGAGTTGGATTATTTTTTTAATCGTTAAATAAATTAATTATATAATTACCACATTACCCTTCATTAAAATGGATTAATCTGAACCATTATATTTTAATGAGGTGGAGGGGCTGAGATTGACTTAGTCATGTGACTAAGGCCCCCTCTTAGTCACCTGATCCTAGCCCCTATGATATATGTAAGTTTCGACACGAACAGTTCCTTTTCCCTCTCCCAAGTCCCAATCGGTTTGGTTTGCTAGACTCTTTTAGATCACCAAAAAATGACGCCCGAAGTTTCTCATTTCATTTTCAAGCGAATACAAAGTCTCACGCAGCTCCCCATTGCACGAAACTGCCCAACAGTTCCCCGCCACAAAACTCGTCAACTTATTCCCCACTTCAATCCAGCTACAACCAGGCGGTTTCTTCAACCCTTCCTCCGCCATAGCCTTCCTAAGCAGTTCCGCTTGTTCCCATTGTCCACTCGCACAGTACACATTCGATTGCAGCACATAGCTCGTCTCGTTTCCAGGCTGCACAGACTTCATAACCTCCCCTACAGAAGCCGCCATGGCCACTTCTCCATGCACCGAACAAGCTCCGAGCAAAGCTTCACATGAACTGATCATGTTGCTAGCCCAGTCTCTGGCTTCTGACAAGTATCCAGCCCGGCCTAGTAGATCAACCATACAAGCAACATGGTGCACGTCATAGGAAAGTGAATGAACCGAGCTCATTGAATCGAAGAGCATTCGACCTTTCTCTACCATGCCGGAGTGACTACAACTCATTAGCAAGCCAATGAAGGTTAATTTATCTGGCTTTAGTCCTGACTCTAGCATGTCTTCGTACAGTTGCAGAGCTTGGTTTCCCTTCCCGTGCAGGCCAAGTGCAAATACCATAGTGTTGAAAGAGACTATATCTTTTTTGTAGATGTCATCGAATGCCATAATCGAGCTGTCCAAATCGCCACACTTTGCGTACATGTTGACTAGCCCGTTGCCAATATAAGCACAAGTATGGAAACCAGAGTGAATTATAGATCCATGGACCATCCTGCCATGGACTATCAATGCCATGGTGGAACACGCGTGAAGGGCTGCCCCGAATGTGTAGTCATCCGGTAACAAACCGTCTCTAACCATATGAGTAAAGAAGTTCAGAGCTTCTTCACCACATCCATTCTGTGCATACCCTGAGATCATTGAAGTCCATGACACTGCATTCTTTTCGGGCATTTGTCCAAATGCCGAAAATGCTTTTTGTGTTTCTCCGGATTTCATGTATGCATCAATCATGGCGTTCCAAGATACCTGTGTTAGGATTCCAGGAGATTGGAACACCTTCACAGCTTCAGTCAAAGAACCCAGTTTTGCATAGAGCCAGAGCAGTGAATTCTTCACCTCCATGGCAGAGCTCCATCCTGTTCTCATCACAACAGCATGGATCACAGTTCCTTGTACAAAGTCCAGGGATTCAGCACAAGCAGTTATAATGGCACTGTAGGTAAACTGATCAGGGCAACACGAACTCTCTCGCATCTGTCCGAGCAGATTCAAGCAAGACTCAGTTTCACCATACTTCCCAAACCCAGAGATCATTATGTTCCAAGCAACATCTATTCTTTCAGGCATTAATCCAAACACTTGTCGGGCTTCAGTTAACATACCGGAATTGGCATGAGCGTATAGGAGCGAGCACCAGGTGACTTCATTAACGCCATTCATCTCTCGAAACACGTTACTGGCGCTGATAGGATCGAAACACTTGCCGTACATATCCACAAGCGAGTTGTTGACAGGGAGCGAGGATCCACAGCCGACAACCACGACGAGACCGTGGATTTTGGTCCCATTGCGGAAGGAACCCAGACCAGCACAGGCACTCAGAGTCGCAGTGAAAGTGAAATCATCTGGCTTGGCGTTGCTGAGCCTCATGTCGTGGAAGAGAGAAAGGGCTTCCCGGTGTAGACCCAGCTGGGAGTAGCCGGTGAGCATCGCGTTCCAAGCCACGGTGTCTCTGCTGGGCATTTCGTCGAACAGTTTCCGTGCTTGGCACAGGAAGCCTGAGCGGGAAAGCGATGCGATCTTGGAGGTGATCTGGAATAAGTACGAGTGCATGTCATCTCCCACTGAGGATGATACGACATACGAGCCACCGCCGGACTGTGTCAGCGCAAGTGGAGAAGCTCGGCGCTTTGGATTTCGCCGGTTGCCGTGGGTTTAAGCTCGGGGAGCTTTTCGCCCGCGAAAACTTCGAGTCGTGACTTTCGAATAGGAATGCAGCGAATGCTTGCTTGCCTTGGTGTTTTTTTTTGGGGACATTCTGAAATATAAAGAAGCGGCCAAGCGGGTACAATAGTTCTTTGAATACGAGAAGGCCAATGTGGTTCTGCTTTCGCATCTGAGAGTTTGAGTTTCACATGATTGTAACGTGATACTTGATTGTAACGTCTTCTAGTTGCGAGATCAAGGATTCAATTATGTTCATACGAGACCAAACTCGTCTTGCCTTCGTTTCTCAGTTCCAGTTTTAAATATGTACGAATCTCGATAAATAACACACCTGATTCATTGTTTGAAAAACATGCAAAGACAATTCAAAGACACCAACACACCAATCCATAGGGCCTTCTTATCTCTTCCTTCTCCGAGCTCGGGTTATAGAAGAAGGAGAAGAAGGAACCGAGAAAAAGGTATCGGCATTGCCAAATGCGATGCTTTAACCTTTGAACTAAGCGAGCTCACATAAGAGCAATTGTATATGTGGAGAAATGGGAATTTTACAAGAATGCTCTCAGGGCTAACAGCGAATTACAATGGAAGGAACCATACAACCTCGCTGAAAAAAATGAGGTTCCAGCCGATGTTACACATTAACTAACCTCAAGCATTCTTTTTGTCCTGCCAATTCGTCGTCATCGAAAATGAAAGCACAAGAGGGAAGAAGGGAGAATACTCTTCTTTCATGGTATCAATTCCATTGACAAGATGCACGGTTCCGAAAAAAGGACTTCCATGCTAATGTCAATACTTGGACAGGGTCTTACGAAAGAGTTCTTTAGGAGCTGCCAAAGACCAAAAAGAAGAAGAAAAAAAAGTTAAAGTCAGAAAGAACCTCATAAACTTTAGGCATATGTTCTGATTTTTTTTATTTTTGGGTATCAACTGATCCCTCCCAGTTGATTTCAAGTGGTTTTACCTGGTAATCCAGTGAACCTCTCAAACTGGTCGTATGCTTGCCCAATGAACATCTCCAGACCTGATACGGTCGCTGCTCCAAACTCTTCAGCTTCTTTCAACAGCCTGGTTATCTTGGGGGTGTAGACGGCATCGAATACCAAGGCATAATGTTTCAAAGCATGCTGCATAAAGGAAAAATGAAGGTGAAGAACTTGTTGGAGCATTTTAATTAATCCATGGAGCTAACAGTGGGATGGTGTTTTGTGAAGGTGTAGAGACGGGGGATAAAAACCTTGGGGACGGGTGTTTCATCCACTTTTGGATGCATTCCGATCGACGTTGTGTTTGCAAGAATCATGCCAGTTTCTGGGTGGAAATTTTCCAGATCAGCTAGGGAGATGGCTTCTCCCCCGATTGTGTCTGCGAGCTCTTTGGCCCTATCTGATGAAAATGAACAGAATGAACAAATTATCAATATGGTTAACCAAAAACTGTACATCCTCCCCTAAACATAAACCGCTATCAAAATAAATGCATTCTTCTCATAATAGGGTTCATGATACATTTGCAGAGCAAAAAGTCATCTTTGTGCAGGAAACTCACCATAAGTCCTATTGGCAATGACAACCTTCGCTCCTTTTTCTTTTGCGCCATAAGCAAGTGCTTTACCAGCACCTCCAGCACCAATGACCACAAACAACTTACCAGCTAAGGGTGAACCAGATAGGCTGCTACTGCCGTTTCCTGAAGCTGCAAAAGAAAGAACAGCTATAGAACATTATAGAGGCTAAAATCACTTAAACGAACAGGGGCCAAAAATAAAGACACCTTGAAGTCCTTCCTCAATGGCAGAAATGGCACCAACATAGTCAGTATTGAAACCAAATAACTTCCCATCACTTTCTCTCCTTACAATGCAATTAACAGCTCCTATCGACTGTGAGAGTGGATCAAGAATTGGATCAATATATCTTTGTTCATTACGTTAAACAAACAACGAAGCTTTAATCATCTGCCAGAAACAGAGAGAAAACCGAACCTTTGCAACTGGATCGACTTCATCACAGCACTTCACAGCATCCTCTTTGTGAGGAATCGTACAACTGCAAACATAACAGCGGTTTTGTAGTTAGCAATGAGCTAATTTCAGTGACCTAGCTTGAAGAATATATTTGAAGCTGGCATTTATTTGTGAAACTACTGAAAGATAAAAATAGCTCAAGTATATATGCTCTAAATGGGATGGAAAATGCTACAGAAACGTAACCTGAACCCAGCGAAGTCCGGGGAGGAGTAAGTCTGGAGAAATCTTGCAAGATCATCCACCAACAAGTGCACATAAACCCCGTTAAAACCAGCTGACTTGAATGCTTCATTGTATAGAACAGGTGATTTGCTATGGCCAACTGGCCTCCCTATTATACCAAAGACCTTGGTATCAGCACTGATTTGTCTGAAATTGTATAGATCCAGCAGGTCTTTGACCAATGGCTGCCCAGGGGCAGAGACCACTCCAGACTCCAAGATGCCAAAAGTGAGATATCCCCCAAATTTGGCGCAGAGTACTCTTGAAATCAAACCTCTTTCTCCCATAACAAGTCCTATGAATGGAACCTGAAATTTTTTAGTCAGTGCTTCAAATAGCAACTCATTCATAGTGAAACCTCATCATCAGTGATAGAGAAAACAAGAGACCATCAGCGAGCACTTTGACCTAACTATTCACAACCTAATTCATACAAATGAAATTGAACTTGAGAAACCAACAGCATACAACAGACGTGGCTTACTTGAGAATGGACCATAATTTGAAACATGCGCGCCACATCAGTAATATCTAAGGCAGTGGTTGCAATCTTCACTATGTCAGCTCCAGTTGCTTGTATTCTTGCGACAAGGTCACCGAGGTCCTCAACAGATGGCGTGCATTCATAGTTGTGCGAAGAAACAATGACTTTGCATTTTGATGTTCTGCTTCCATGTAAAGATCCAATGAAATCACCAGCAACCTTCAAAATTCAACATGCCAGAGAGTTTGAGGACCCCTCCTACTGCCGAGGTTTACAAAGAGCTTGAAATTTGAAGACTTAGCAACACTGATCTCTTTAGCCTTACTGAACGCAGTTCATCAACCCATGAGAATCAATTTTCAAGAAGCCCGAACTAATGACAAGCCTAAAGTGGATGACAAAGAAGCTAAGAACCTGAAGCTCAACGTCAATGTAGTCGGCTCCCAAATCCATGGCTAGCTTAAGCGCATCCAATCGCTTGCTTTCATCGCCCTCGTACTGACCTCCCTCCCATCTCGGCCTGGCAGGGACGACACAAGGGACAAGGAAACAAGCCTTTCATAATTGATATGCAGACTAAAAACTGCGACAAATGGAATAACGAAAGGGAGAAAACATAGAGAAGCAAGCCAATGCAGACCTGTAGGTGAAAAGCGTGGGCAAGGAAGAGCCATTGACGAGCGCGGCCAGATCCCCGCGAGGATCGACGAAGCTCCGCAAATAATCCAATCGAATTTCCACGAGATCGGCACTGGCGGACTTGGCCTGGCCAACCTTGACCAGCATCTCGTCGACTGTATCCGCCATGATTGGAACACAGATGAGAGTTGGATTCTTGAGCTGCGCTCCTCCGCCGCCGCCCATTGAACCCGAAGCCAACTGAAAAACAAGAGGAATAAGCAAAAGTACGGAATTAATCAAAGCACCTAGGCGATTCTCTCCGCAGACGGAGGCAGGTTAGGCCAAGTCAAAAACAGTAACTAACATTTCGAAATTTCCCCTCCCAACTTCTGGAAAATTTCCCGGTGCCGGAAAAAGGGGGAAAAAAAAAATGAAAGGAAGCGCTTTACCAGGACGTTGCCGGAGTCCATTCCTCCGTTTTGGTTGGTTAATACAGCCGGTCAGCTGGTCGTCGACGATGAGGAATGAAGTTGTGAATGGGTAGGTGAAGATGGGAAGGGAAATGGGTTAGGTGCGAGAGCTGTGTGGTTCGGTGACTGTTTGAATGGGTTGGTGAAGATGTGAAGTTTAGCCATTTTTTTGGAGTTGCTAAAGGTCGCCCTTAGAATTGCTAAAGGTCGCTCTAAAAAAGTTTAAAGTTACACTTATAACCCCCTATCTTCTTTACCTTCCTTTTATCAAACAAACACCACTTGGACTAAAAAAACACTATCTAAGGAGAGAAAAATCCATCATCGTCATTTTGAAGCCAATATCGTCCGTAGGACGTCTCAATCATGAGTAGCGACTCCGACGAGGTAAATACCGAAACTGAAAAACGAAAAAAAAAAAACCAGAAAATGCCCAACCGCAAGTGACCTGCGGTTGGACCATGGCCGGACCGCAAATCCCCTGCGGTTTTTTTTCGTTGAATAATTTTCTATTTTTTATATGATTTATGATTTGTTCCATGAGATAATTTGTTGGGTTTTGATTTATATAATTTTCTAGATTTATTTGCATAATTATTTTTGGAATTGAAGGATTTAGCATTAGAAATTAAGATTAGATTTGGCCTTAAATTAAGATTAGATTTAATTTGGTCTTAATCTAGAAAATTAAGATTAGATTTTGCATTACAAATTAAGATTAAATTTATTGCATAAATAATAGATTCGCATTAGAAATTAAGATTAGATTTGGCCTTAAATTAAGATTAGATTTAATTTGGTCTTAATCTAGAAAATTAAGATTAGATTTTGCATTACAAATTAAGATTAAATTTATTGCATAAATAATATATTCGCATATGAAGATTAGATTTAATTTGGTCTTAATCTAGAAAATTAAGATTAGATTTTGCATTACAAATTAAGATTAAATTTATTGCATAAATAATAGATTCGCATATGAAGTTATGATGATTATTAAATTTAATATAGTTATGAAATTTTAAATTTATCATATGGTACTCATTAAATTGACGATATAGAATGTTAAGTTTTTTTTTTTAAATTTGTGGGGTATCACTTATAAATTCTGATAACATTGCAGGATATTGGAAGTTACAATCCGGATGGCCATGATTACACCTCGGATTTCATTGATGGCGTGAAATACACTACGGAGTTGCAAGCATATGAAGCAGCTACTGAGATTGCCAAGGGTTTTGGGTTTTATTTGGTGAGGGCATCGAACAAAAAAAATAAGAATGAAGGTACTTGGCGACATTACTTACATTGCACTCATGGTATGAAGAAGAAGTCGACGGAACCTGATCCGAGTAAGGAAAGGAGGCCTCTTACATCTACTGAAAAGTTGGGGTGCGAGTTTCAGATCAAGCTTGAGCGGTCAGGTGATGGATATTGGTTGATCCTAGGGGTGGCAAATACAAAGAATCCTGGTGCTAATTTGGGTTTCCACAATCATCAGTTGGAGCTATTTCCGGAAGGATCAAAGGGAAGGAATGTTCTGACTACAGAGGATAAGCAATACATCAGAGAGCTGAGATCAGCCGGTGTCCCACCAAGGAATATCCACAAGGCAGTGAATGAGAGAAAAGGTGCAAATGGAACACACAACAGAAAGCAGATTTATAACGAGTTGCAAAAGATAAGGAAAGAAGAGCTTGGTCATATGACAGCCTTACAGTATACTTTCCGCGTGGCGCAGGAGAAGGGTTACTATGTGCAGTATATGGACGATCGTAACGTGCTTACAGACTTGTTCCTAGCCCACCCTGAGTCAGTAGTGATGTTGCGAGCTTGGCACCATGTGATCGCACGGCCGAGAAGCAAAATCCAACTGTAGACGACGGGCTGCCACGTTATCCCACAACTGATTCACCCACGGATCCCAATAGACTATGTAACTGCTGCCGGAAGCCGGACGGTACTGGTCATGTGGTACCGTCATAGCACGGGGGATAATCTGTCGGTATCCAAACTGGCGCAGACAACGTGCAGGATCGTATCCCTCAGCAATGTCAGAAAAGCGAATGGGACCAGTATACAAAGAGCGGGTAATATCTGTGTGGCCATCTCGTCCGTACGGAGTCCAGGTCACATCATCAGCTGAAAGCTCATCCAACAACTGTCGATAATGTGCTAACCTCTGTCTAGCCTCATCCCCACCTGGCAAACGGGGAGAAATCCACGAGGAAGCACAAGGTGCATCCGGAGACTGCGGCAGCTGACTCGGACGGAATAGAGGAAAGTACTCATATATCCAAGCCTGAAGCAGGGTCAAACAACCACAAAGACCCTTACTACCCGCTCGTGTGGCCACTCCCAACTGTCTGTAGAGATAGGCTAGTGCACCAGCTCCCCAAGCGTAATCGTCGATGATCCTTCAGAAACAAGTTGATCGCAGGACGAAGGCGATCACGACTCTTATCCACAAAAAGCATGGATCCAGTAACACAAATAGGTAACACTGCACCTCCATCTCCTTAATCTTCAACTCTCCCCCACGCACCAACAATCCCTCTGCATGCATAGCACCATTATCGTACCACTTAGACTTCCACTTACCACCAACCTGAGCATCCACCGAAAGTCGAACTAGACCACCCATGTCTGACTTAAGAGTATCCGGCGACGCCTCATCTCCCATCATCTCTCCGTCAACCGGTATCCGAAGAATGTGATGCACATCGTGTAGAAGGATCGAAATCTCTCCAAACGGCATGTGGAAGGTGTTTGTGTCCGGCTGCCACCTCTCCACAAATGCCGACAGTAGAGCCATGTCAAAATGCTGCATCATGCACCCTGTCAAGTGAGACAATCCTGTGGCTTCAACCATCTCCTTGGAACCCTCTGCACTCCACTTATATCGCCTCAAAGTCTCTAAAGCTTTCGGCCTATGGAAGCCGTCCAACACTCCACGGTCCTGCTCAGGGGTATTCCACAGTACAAGACCAATGTGACCTCCAAAGCTAGGGATCACATCGGGAATCACTGGTCCACCTGAACACATCGGAGACTCGGCTGTAAGAAACCACGACATATCTTTCCTCGTGGTCTTCCTCTTCCTATTTCCATCTCCGCCATCCTCGCTACTAGGTCTGGACGCATAGCGTCCATCGGGGCCACGGAAGTGGGAGGAGGCAGTAGAAGATATCCCGACCCGGGCTGTCTTCCCCACGCCTAAATCAGCTTGAGGTGGGGCATCCCCATCCTCAGCAGCACCAGCAGCATCACCAGCACGATCACCAGCAGCATCACCAGCACGATCACCAGCATCATCACCAGCAGCATCACCAGCATCTGGGGCATTCCCAACCTCAGCCTCACCGTCATCATCATCATCCTCGTCAATGGAATCACTCCAATTAGCCTGCCATACCGGTGCGCTCTCTGGTGTAGGAGTACTGGTAGTACCTCGACTAAGAGACAACTGCCCCACAGTAGGGTGGCTGTCACGACGCACTACATCCGCCTTCTTCTTCCTTCTAACCTTAGGTGGATTTTTTTCTTCATTTTCCTTCCTACCAGTCGCCGTAAGTCTACAAGCACGACCTTCCATTCTCTCCTTATTTCTCGCCTTAATCATATCCGGTTTACCCATTCCATGTCCAGACATCTTCAAAAAAAAGTTTGAATTATTAATAATGGATTATTAATAATAGAGTACATAAAGTAATTAATTAAAGATTTCCATAATTAAAATTATAAAATTAATAGTTTGAACATTTATGTTACGTTCTATGTAATCATTATTTACATAAAAGTAAATAATTAATCAAGGTAAAATTATTAATAATTAAGTAGATAAACGAATTACTTTGAAATTTTGATTATTAAAATAATAAAAATACATTTTTTATTTTTTTATTATGTTCTTTAAATTTGTTATCATTAATTAACATTTTTCGAAAACGTTTTTTAAATTTTTATATAATATAACTAAATTATAACTAAATTAACATTATAACTAAATTAACATTTATCGAATACGTTATCATTAAATATAATTATAACTAAATTATTTTTATTAAGTATATTTTTTTATTTTTTTATTATTATTAACATTTATTTAAATACAGAATAAAAACAGAATTAAAAAAAAAGTCAACCGCGGTAAAACCGACGGTCAGCCGTCGGTTCAACCGCGCGTTGACCGCGGTCGATTTTTTTTTTTTTTACCTTCTTCTCCGGCGACTGTGGAACGAGATGGGCGGCGATGATGGGCGACGGCGACTGGCGGGCGATGGCGACGGAACGCGAAGGCGGCGACTGTGGAGCGCGACGGCGACGCGATGGGCGGCGGCGACTGTGGAGCGGGACGGCGACGGGACTGGCGAGCGGGAGTGGGCGGCGACGGGAGTGGCGGGCGGCGGCGACTGGCGGGCGAGATCGGCTGGCGGCGACGGGATTGGAGTCCGGCCTGTGAGGGAGGTCGCGGGTGGTGAGAGGAGTTTTTTTTTTTTTTTTTTACTGTAGTGGTGAGAGGAGTTGGGGGAGTAGAATTTGAAAATTGGTAAGGGCTTGTTTGTTTAAGTCAATTGGGAGTTTTTGTTTAAGGGTATATAAGTAATTGTACATTCAAGTTAGGGCGATGTTTAGCAATTCTTAGGGCGACATTTAGCGATTCAGTTTTTTTTATCTCGGTCCTCCTGCCGCCCGCCTAAATCCAACTACAAGTGGATTTCTGTGGCCCCATCCGCCGGGAGCAATGTTGTCAAATCGGTTTATGATTTATGCTCTTAGGTTGGTTTGGCAAATAATATGATCCGATTAGTGGTAGAATCGATTGAGACCAGTTGATGCTGATATTAGCAAAACATGTAAGCAAGTGGGAAACCATTAACATTAGGGCGTGATAGGTTGATGAGAGCATACATGCTACGCCTTCAGCGTAGGTATTCTCTATTCGAAAATAAGACTAAACAAATCGGGTTGGATGAGACATGCCAAAATTATCATCTCTACCTGTTAACCTATGTTCTTTTTTGACCAAGAAATGTTTAGGAAGGAACAACAATCCAACGAAATACTTCACGTTTCCACCCCTATTTAAACCCAAACAAACCCAAACATCAACAGTAACCCGTGATTAAGAACAAAAGAGACCAACTCTAACAAAGACAGAGTAAGGATTTTATGTGTCCCTCTATGAGTAGCCCAATTCACAATTCTAAGAACCACCCTAAACTCTACACCATGGGACAACGACCGAGATCAGATGGACACAATCGCGCAACACAAGCCCACCTAAGACATCTGACAACATATCATTATGAAGTTGGGGGTGGTATCGTATAGGAAAAGCTAGGTATACCTTCGTTCCCCAGACGTAGTACAGTGCATTCGGAACACAGAGCAAGGTTGATATTTGATATTCGTTTGACAAATAACAACCTCCGAGTCGTCTTCGACCACCACTCTTGCAATATGGCGATCTACCCCAAGCAATATAATTGCTCAAGCGGCAAAAAGCTCTGCAATATACGGGTCTTATATTACAAATCAGAGGCACCCTAACACCGATAGTGTGTAACTGCTTGAATCTCGAATAACTCATCCAAAAGAGCATGCATCGTGTAGGATAGCCCGTCAAAATTAATATTTGGTACGCCTAATTAAGAGAGGTGGAGACCACTCCAGACAGGTGAGGGTTGGAGAGCAAAAGCAAGAGGGGAAGGAGGCATGGGGTCAAATGGATAATCATTTGTTATATATCCGATCTCAATTCATGTTAAAAGTATTCTCTTGTTTTTCCCTTTCTTCTGAATTTGTAGTTAAAAGAGTGAACCAATCAAAACCAAGTGGTTTACCGGGTTAATGGCAATAACCTGACCGTGCAACTAAATGAACCAAACTGTTATTGTAACCGATTCAATAGTTCTACTGGTCCGACCGTTGATCCAACCTGATTCTTATATCAAGGAATATCACCTCAAATTAATAGTAGATGGCCTCATGGACACTAATGAGGGGACGAGAACAATCCATTTTAATGCATAATCAGACCCAAAACTAGCCTGTTAACTATTAAGGCACTTGTGAATATAGGATAACTTAGCAGGATGATTACTTGGAAGACTACTTACTAATAATCAGCGAGCATTACAACTTTGATTACATTCACAACTGTGCATATTGCCTAAGTCCTAGCTCTCATCCGAGCTGTAAGTTACTACATTAACCTGGAAAAAACATATACTACATCTGCACATAACTTCGGCTACAGATCCCTTGTGATTCATCCACACATCCCAACGGATCTTGTCCAAAAATGGCCATCACTCATCTCCCCAAGAGATCGATTCCGGTTCTGTTCGTTCTGCAGACTCGGGAACTGAAAGTTCTTCAGAAGAAACGTTGGCCTTCTCATCAACCACCATCAGATCCTCGGACTTGGCACCAGCATGTGTGGAGACTGCCACATCATTACCCCGCTCTTCGTTTCTAGGTTCCTTTTCCTCTCCCGAATCCTCGCCAGGAGGACTCTCAGAAGTTGAGTCATCAATCTTTCCCTCATCCACTACCACATCATTACCCCTCTCTTCATTTCTGGATTCCTTTTCCTCCCCCGAATCCTCACCACGAGGACTCTTAGAGGTCGAGCCGTCAACCTTTCCCTTCTCCGCTACCGCATCATTACCCTCCTCTTCGTTTATAGGTTCCTTTTCCTCACCCGAATCCTCACCATGAGGACTCTTAGAAGTTGATTCATCAACCTTTCCCTCATCCACTACCACATCATTACAACCCTGCTCAATTCTGGGTTCCTTTTCTTCCCCCGAATCTTCGCCACGAGGACTCTTAGAAGTTGATTCATCAATCTTTCCCTCATCCACTACCACATGATTACCCCCCTCTTCGTTTCTAGGTTCCTTGTCCTCCCCCGAATCCTCACCACAAGGACTCTTAGAAGTTGAGTCATCAATCTTTCCCTTCTCCACTACCACATCATTACTGTAGTCATTTCTAGGTTCTTCAAGTTCTTCTGCCAGCTTCTCACCATGAGCACTCTTAGAAGACGAGTCATCAATCTTTCCCTCCACCACTGGATCTTCAGAGTCGGGGCAATTAACCATTGTCACTACCACATTATTACCACCTTCTTCATTTCTTGGTTCCTTTAGTCTCTCTGCCGACTTCTCCCCATGAGAGCTCTTAGAAAATGAGTCATCAATCTTTCCCTCCACCACTGGATCCTCGAAGTAAGGGTCATTAGCCGTTGCCACTACCAAGACATTACCACTCTCCTCTTTAGGTTCCTCCAGTTTCTCGGCTGACTTCTCACCATGAGGACTCGTAGAAGATAAATCATCAATCTTCCCCTCCTGCATCACCACATCCTTCGAGTCAGGGTCATCAGCCGGGGCCCCTACCAGATTATTACCACCCTCTTCATTTCTAGGTTCCTCCAGTTTCTCTCCCGACTTCTCACCATGAGGACTCTCAGAAGATGAGTCATCAATCTTTCCCGCCTCCACCACCAGATCCTTAGAGTCTGGGTCATCAACCGTGACCACTGCCAAATCATTACCACCCTCCTCATTTCTAGGTTCCACCAGTTCCTCCACCGACTTCTCACCTTGTGGACTCTTAGAAGATGAGTCATCAATCTTTGCCTTCATCACTGGGTCCTTAGAGTTGGGGTCATCAGACATGGCCACCACCACATCATTACCGCACTCCTCATTTCTATGTTTCTTCATCGACTTCTCACCATGAGAACTCTTACAAGATGCGCCATCAATATTTTCCACAGCCACTGGATTAGGTGTGGCCACCACCACATCATTACCACCCTCCTCATTTCTAAGTTCCTCCAGTTCCTCTGCCAAACTCTTACCATGAGGACTCTTGGGAGATGAGTCATCAATATTTCCCTCTATTATCACTGGATCATTAGAGTTAGGGTCAGTATGGATAGCTACTACCACACCATTACCACCCTCCTCATTTTCAGTTTCCTCCGTTTCTGCCGCCAACTCGTCACCACGAGGGTTCTTAGTGGATAAGTCATCAATCTTTCCTTCCTCCACCATTGGTGAAGGTGAACTTGTGTCCTCTGCAGTTGCAGGAGCAATCCCGCCACATTCCTTAGAATCAGGCCCTTGTAGTCTCTCCTCTGCTGCTAAGTTGCTATCTACATTCTTCTCAGAAGGTAAACTTTCTATATCCAATTCACCTTCTGTAGAATTACGCCTATGTAACCCCTCCTCTGCTGTTAAGTTGATATGGACATTCTTCTCAGAAGGCGAACTTTTTGTACCCAACTCACCTTCTGTAGAATTAGACCCCTGCAGTTCTGCCACCTCATTTCTAGTCTCCTCCGGTTCTGCTGCCAACTTCTCACCACGAGGGCTCGTAGAAGATGACTCATCAATCTTTCCTTCTTCCACCATTGGTGAAGGTGAATTAGTGTCCTCTGCAGTTGCAGGAGCAATCACGTCACATTCCATAGAATCAGGCCCCTGTAGACCCTCCTCTGCTGCTAAGTTGCTATCTACATTCTTCTCAGAAGGTAAACTTTCTGTATCCAATTCATCTTCTGTAGAATTATGCCCCTGTAACCCCTCCTCTGGTGTTAAGTTGCTACAGACATTCTTCTCAGAAGGCGAACTTTTTGTACCCAACTCACCTTCTGTAGAATTAGGCCCCTGCAGTTCTGCCTCCTCATTTCTAGTCTCCTCCGGTTCTGCTGCCAACTTCTCACTACGAGGGCTCTTAGAAGATGCATCATCAATCTTTCCTTCCTCCACCATTGGTGAAGGTGAACTAGTGTCCTCTGCAGTTGCAGGAGCAATCACGTCACATTCCATAGAATCAGGCCCCTGTAGTCCCTCCTCTGCTGCTAAGTTGCTATCTACATTCTTCTCAGAAGGCAAACTTTCTGTATTCAATTCACCTTCAGTAGAATTAGGCCACTGTAGCCCTTCCTCTGCCGTTAAGTTGCCATGGACATCCTTCTCAGAAGGCGAACTTTTGGTAACCAATTCATCTTCGGTAGAATTAGGCCCCTGTAATCGCTCCTCTGTTAAGTTGCTATCTACATTCTTCTCAGGAGGCAGACTTTTTGTATCCAAATCTCGCACTCCTACCAGGGGAAAATAACAAAATGGGTTACTTCACCTACGATCAAGCTCAAGACTACCCTAGATAAATGCCATACTCTTACCTGTTTCAGATGGGGCTTTTATGCAATCTTCTCCAGAGTTGCTGCTAAGTGGATGTCTCTCCGGTGAGTCAATTCGTTCTTTGGGCACAGAAGGAGAGGCTGTTAGGGATTCTTCTCCCACTGCTACTCGCTTATCAGCTTGACACTCTGATGCTTTCAACTCTCTAGATGAAGTAAGGTAGTGTCTCTCAGGTGAATTGGACCCAGAGGGAGATGCTGCTAAGGTGTCTTCTGCAAATGCTACTTCGTCATTAATTGTACACTCTGGTTCTTTCAACTCTCTAGATGAAGGAAGCTCATTGGAGAAACTTCTACCAGTTTCAGAGACACCAATTTCACAATCTTTGTTAGCATCAGAGCCTAGCACTTCTTCTGGCACGACTGATCCTTTCAACTCTTTAGATGAAGGAAGGTCATCTGAGACACTCCTACCAGTTCCAGAAACACGAACTTCACAATCTTTGTTCGAATCAGAGCCTTGCACTTCTTCCGGGACAACTGAATCTTTCAACTCTCTGGATGAAGGAAGGTCATCTGGGACACTCCTAGTTCCAGAGAAACCAATTCCACAATCTTTGTTAGTGTCAGAGCCTTGCACTTCTTCCAACACAACTGATCTTTCTACCAGAACCAAATGTTGATGATCCCTCTCAACTGGTGAGCTTCTTAACTCTTGCTCCTTGGCAAAGGCATCTTCTGGTAAAGAGAGCTGTTAAATTGGTCAAAATAAAAGGTCAACCAATTTAGTTAGGGAAGTAAATACCATAAAGTGGCTGTGTAGTGCACAAACAACAAAATCAAACATGAAATACGGACAAGTAATTACAGAGGAGGGCGAATAAGACAATTGACCTACGTCATTCATCACCAACAATCTCTTTTTATAAAATCGAGATTAAGGGGTTCCAATGATAGGAAATCTGAGTCAAATTGAATCACTCAGTCAACAAATACCAACCTGTTCCATGGAGAGATCCACGTCTTTTGGCTGAAGCTGATTTCCAACATGATCTTCTGAACTTAGCTCTGTGTTGGTAGATTCAGAAGTAAAATCATCAGGCAATCTACTGTCCAATTGTGACTGCAACGTACTTGGACCACAATGCTTCTCTTCATTGGCTGACTCACAAAATACGGTCTGCTCAGGTGGTATATGTTGTTCTTCCACATTGAACACTGGAACGGGTTCACTCTCCGTGTATCCAGTTTCTTGATCAAGTTGCATGTTGCTGCTATTAACTTCAGGTTGAACAATCGTATCATCAAACTTTGCCGCAGTAGTATTAGCCTCACTGCCATGCTTCTCAGTAACTTCAATCTGAGACAATGGAGACGACTTTACAGAAGCTTCCATCTTATCTTCTGGATTCTTCTCGGGATGCTCTGCAGTGCCGTGAGCTTCGATAGGTTCTACGAAGGCATCAGGAAGAGATTCAGGTGGCCGCATGAACCTTACAGTAGCAGCATCAACAGAATCATCATGAGATGAAATGCGAGGCATCTTAGCACCTTGAGTTTCTACAGGTGAGCCAACCTTCTTGGTAGATGCACACTCAACAGTACTACTCAAATTAACCCTGGAAGATACGTGTCTTCCAACACCTTGAGCTTGTCCAAGTGAAACAACCCGATTGCTGGATGCCTCTATACCAAGAACAATGGCATTTGCCTTACTTCTGCACGTGTCTTTATCAACTGCTGCTGATTCTAGAGATAAATCGACTTTTGTCTCAGCTTTATTACTCACAGCATCAGCATGCACAGCAGGCAGATTCCTCTTATCCACCCTGAAACCTAATTCAGATACAGACTGGACAGAACTATCAAGTGAGATTCCTTCAGCAGGAATGGCTTCTTGTAAAGAAGAGACAGATCCATGAATCTTATCCCCAGAGCTTTGGCCTTCTGTGACTGGTGAAGGTTTCATACAAGATACAGGTGTGCCAGTGCTTTTACATTCACTTTTGGAAGAGTCACTACTCTTACCCTTGGATGAGCAAGACTCAGAGAAGATCTCCTTCATCACACGTGCAACATCAGTTACATCTGCAGTCTGAATCCGGCCCAAAGACGTAATTTCCCTTTGTTTATAGTCTTGACAAACAAAATCATTAGCAACTGGGGTTTCCTGGAAGGAGAATCAAATAAACATTAACCACAACGAACTTTTTTTTTTATAATGTTCACCAAAATGAACTTTTGAGCAGAAGCTAGGAAAATAAAAGGATTTATAGCTTGCATACAATAGGGACTGAAGAGCTTACAAATACCTGTACAGCAAGTGTGATTTCCATAGCTTCACCCCCTGGTCGGTTTCTCAGGGACATGGTCCTAACTCCCAATGTATCAGCAGGATGTGCCGTTGTAGCCGGTTTCCTTCCCCTCCGCCTGGGCGCATCCGTTCTGCTTGTAACCTTTCGGCCTCTCCCTTTACCCCGACCTGCTTGAGGTGGGTCAGGTTGAGAGACCACGGCTACAGAAGAAAGGGCTGGGGTGGGCCGAGAGACAAAGGCACTTTTCACGACCAACTCTGGTACAGTCTGACCAATTTCTACACCAGGGGAGCCATGCTGTGATTCACATGAAGGACCAGCAAGTGCAGACTCTTTATCTCCCATAATTGTATTCTGCACTTTATCAATGAAAGCCTTGCTGGGTGTAGGTATTCCTAGGCCAGCCTCACCATCCTTTCTGAAAGGGTCACCTGATTTAGATGTCGAACTACTTTGAACAGGATGCTCCTTAATGTTGGTGGCTGCGTGAAACAAGGTAACAGTTTGATTTCTTGCAGGAGAACCTGGACAAAGTCTTTGTTTTAGTATCACTTTGTCAATTTGAAAGTTATTGTTCATACAAAACTCAGCATGCAAGCAAAAAACTCGAAAGGAAGAAAGAAGCAGTCTTTCATCAATTTACCCATAGATGTAGGAGCATCATGCATGGTGGTTGATAAGCTGGTTGGCTGTTGGGTCACTGCAGCTGAATGTTGGCTTGGCATAGATCTAGTACCAGCACTGTGTATGGTGGTCGAGTTTGTTGGCTCATCCTGTTGGGTCACTTCACCTGAATGTTGACTTGACTCCTGATCTGGAATAGTTACTCTGGGTTTTTGCCCCGGGTCAACTTTCGTTGGTTCATTGGAACCATTGCCCTTATCATTTCCAGCTATTGCAGCGCTGCCTCCCAAAGTGTCTACTACTGGTACAACACCTGTCAGTAAGTTCTGAGATGAAACCTGAGCAGCTAAAACAACTGGAACTTCAGGTGGAACTTGAACTGAAGGTGGTAGGTTCATATGCGAAATCTGAGCCGCTGAAACAACTGGAACTTCAGGTGGAACTTTAACTGCAGGTTTCCTTCCCCTACGCCGAGGCATTCCAGTCGCACTTTGAGCCTTTGGATTCTGCTCTTTGATTCGAGTGGAAGCAGAAGCGATGGATAAAGATGGAGCAGCAAGAGGGGCTGGATGGGTATCTACAATAGTCCCTTTACCAGACTGATCTGGTGCTGCAATGGTCACTTGAACAGGTACAGTAATTGGTGCAATACCAGGATCACCAGAAAGTGTGACACCACTGGAATTAACTAAAGCATTGTTGGACGCGTTCTGTGAAGCTTCACCAATAACGGGAGCTGGAGAAGCAATGTTCTCAGGCGTAGCTGACACAAATCCCATTTTCCTTCCCCTACCACGTGGTGTATACCCACCACGTTGAGACTTACGACCGCGGCCTCTTGCTGGCATTGGTACTGAAGGAGAAACAAGAGAAAGTTGTGAACTCTGCCCAGAAGTGACAGGAATAGTTGGTTGGAGTGTGGAAGCAGTGCCTGCATCAGCTTGAGGGGCTATTGGACCAACCCTAACCAAATTTGATTCTGGTAAAGGATCAGGAGCTAATGTACTTGGAGAGCTACCATCGATTCCTTTTTGTAACTCCATATCTGCTTTGACAAGTCCAGCAGGAGTTCCTACTGGCAGTGCTGATCGAGTTATATTTACCCTTTTTGGCCGTCCACGTCCTCTCTTAGATGGTGTCGGTGTTACCGTTAACTCACTGCTCTGTTGTGGAAGTACATGCTGCACCAACTCTGGTGCAGTAGGTGCAGCAGTAGGTTCTGGATTAGCAATGGTTGAGGCAGAAACACTGGCCTCTTTTGGCAGATTCCTCTCTACTACTTCCTCCTTAGGTTTTGGCGAATCAGGATTGTCATCCTGGCACAGCTTTTCAAATTCCTCTTCAGTCCATTGTTCTTCATACGACCGTACCTGACAAAGCAGAACTTGGATAACTTAAAAGGTGCCCTTGAATTGAGGCAATAGATAACTAAGAGACAGCAAAAACAAAAACGAAGTTGAGTAACAGACCTCTCTTGCCCGCTTGCCCCTTCCATAGTGCTGAAAATCAAGGCCCTGCGACTGACCTTTTCGTTTTGTCCCGATACTAGGTACTCCATCATCTTTTGGCACATCATATAGCTTTATTTTTTCGAAGAATGACTTCAAGTCATCATCTGAAACAAGGCGTGAAGGCAGGGGAGGCAAAGATTCAGGAACATTTGCTCCCTGTCCAGCTAGTAACTTCTTCCATATTTCCTACAGTTATGTGAAGTCGAGTAAGTCTAGCGACCATAAGTACCAAGCAAGAACTGCAAACTTTAGCATCATACCGTCTCTTGTTCCCGTCGTTGTTTGTCAACCGACTCAAATACATCAATCTCAGACTCACTGCGGACACAGGTTTACAGTCAGTAATGCTTGGTACAGACTGAGTCCAAGGAGATAATCAAACAACATTAATGAAGGCGCAAAGGCTGCCTTCGCACCAAGGTACTAACACAGCCACATTAACCAGCAATAACAAAGTAATCTATGATATGTGTGCAGAACTAAACACTAGAGTTCCATTAGGTTTTGCTCACGGTATATATATAACAATAATTTTACTCATTCAAGTTATAGTTTGTTTACAGAAAATTGGCTAGGATACTTCAACATTCTGCATACAAGACCACACATCTTTAGCTTTCTATTGGTTTTCAGATTTTCCATTCACCTCAACACATCAATGAAAAGCAATAAACTGAATCATCCTACCAAAGTGAAGATAAAAGCAAACAAGACAAGAAACAAAGACATTGCTGCCTGTGCCTTTCCTTTAAGCTAGCGGAAGAGAAACTTGAGCCCAAGGATGCCTTTTACAGCCATGTCTCCAACCCTAAGACAGCTGGAAACAGACTTTAAGCCACAAATACCTGCGTGCTAAGATCTCATTCAAGGCTTCATCATCCAAGACAGGGGCAGCTTCCTCTTTCTTTGACTCACGTAGTAGGGCCTCCAAGTACTCTCTACGATCTTCCGCGCTGTGAAACATAAAAGTCTCTTAAGCGATGGAAATGTAACTCAATTAAGCCACCAGGAATTCCTATTTCAAGATTCTATGGAGAAACATTTAAAAGGGCGTATTCTAACCCACCTTGTATTATTGTCAAAGAAACCAGCCGTAATACTCTGGTCAGCAACTCCCAGTTTATGCTCAGCAGCAGCTCTGACTTGTTCTTCAACAGTTTTCACCTTAAGACAAGAAAATAATGAAATGAGGGAACTATTCAAATCCCAAGAATGGTTTAGGCCGACATCGAGATACATAAGCCACAGTTTTGTTTGGGGGAGATAGCGACATACAGTTTCAAATCTAAGAACAAGCACATCCTTCTTCTGGCCAATCCTGTGAGCCCTAGCTTGTGCTTGAAGATCCACCTAATAATACAAACAGAAAAGGGTATCAAGAAATGGGGGCTGAAAAAGCATTAGCATGCTCTAGATTCAAAGCCTAGTTTTCTCTAAAACCTGAGGATTCCAGTCCGTGTCAAATATGATGACAGTGTCTGCAGCCTGAAGATTCACTCCAACACCACCAGCCCGAATGCTGAAAGTTAATTAAAGTTAGTTCCTTGACACCATAAACCACCGGCGTTAAAACCAAATCCCTGCCATGGAATGAGGTAAAATGCTCGCAGAACAAAGCTTTTGAGGCTACAAAAAATCAGCTCATAAACTAGTCATCAATTCATGGTTGTACATCCCAGCCCCAAATAAGTAACCAAAACCAAGCCTGTTTATTGCTAGCTCTAGGTTGCAAGAGATCAGCATGCTACGTCTTCTTTTCATAGATGATGCCGGGTCCAAGATTTGAACCTAGTATGGATTCTTACATCTTATAGTTGATCTCGATTGCAGGTGAAAATAAAATACATCTGAAAAGCTATAAAGATTGTGATCGCACATACCCCAGATCTCCAGCTTCACCAGAAATGTGAATCTACTCCAACAACTAACAAAGAAATTATCAAGTCACGTCCCATATCGATTTTTATTTTTATTTTCCTTGCAGAGACCCACATAATACTCATATTATGCGCCATACCCTGGTAGAAACCATAAACCTCAACCTTATTCACAACAGCCCATCATTTACCTGAGCAGAAAGATGAAAAAGGGAGAACTTTGTTTGTTGAACATATCAATAAGTGCACCACGGTCACCACCAGAAGTATGACCATCCAGACGAAGGTATCGGTACTGTTTTGCCGTGAGATACTCTTCCATAATATCAAGAAGCCTTGTCATTGTTGAAAAGAAAAGTACCTGCAAGTTGCCAGCACCACAACTACAAATTAATATGATATTATGATGTACAAAAATCAAATTTGCTTACTTTGCCTCACCCCATGAATGAGAAAGGTTCATAGGATAGGATAGAATTGACAATTATAAATGAGAGACAAACAACCAATTAACAAAATACACATTGTCAACTTGCTAAAATGGAATTCTATCATACATGAAGGGCGTGTTTGTTTTAACTTGATAAAAAAAACTCGAAGGAACTATTTTCTTCATCTAACTTAAAATCTAAAAGCTAAGTCGCTAAAAAAGAAAATTCATTTCCATCTTTGTTCCTTGAAAATAGAATTCTTCAAATGGCAGTCGTACTAGTCATTACCACTTTAGATGCTGACCAGAATACTTCTCAATTGATATTCTCTTTCTAGCCAAGAAAGAATCTCTAGCGAGGGTAATAAGCAAGGATTAAAATATCGTACCGTACCGGAGGTTCGACCTGAAAAACCTCCTACCGGAAGCAAAACCGGTAGGCGGAATTTAGCGGTAATACGGTTGAACCATGGTTTACCCTACCGCTGACTTTTCTGGTACAACCTCCGGTACGGTATTTCAATCCTTAGTAATAAGTAATTAAGCATGAACAGGCACTCACTTTTTCTAATTATTAAACAAACTATCTATTATCCCATCACTTGGTTTTTTATCTCTAAATACATCTGACATCCCATCAACTCGGCTTTTCCTAAACTCTAATCATTAATCAACCACATTTTTTCTTCCCTTCTGCTACAACTACAAAAACTCACATTTATCCTAACAAAAACTAAATAAACACACCCCAAAAGAATCAAATATAAACAATCAACAAAAAGAAATGCATTGTACAAACATGGAGTATAGAGTCCATACTCGATGGTCGGTAGCTTTCAGTTTGGGTAACAATCGATCTAACATCTCAAGCTTTCCACAAAGTCTGATGATTGGTGGCAGAAAGTGCTTAGGCATAAAACTCTCCACCTACAAAACATGTAAATTTCATAAATGAAAACGGTATTTCACAATAGCAAAAAAGAAAAGAACAAAGATGAACGTTACAGTAGTAACCCCAGGAAGACAAGAAACAGGGAATCAGTGTAAGAAAGGAAAAAGATAACAAAACTAGCCCAGCATACCTCATCTGAATGCAGCTGACTAAGATAAGGGTGATTGCATATATTGCGAAGCTCCATGACAGAGTTGTGGACTGATCGTGACTGCAAAAGACAATCAAGTTTAGAAAGAGGAACTGTACTATATGCACAGTAGAACATAAATATGCAAAATGAAACAATAACACAGAACAAAATATAGATTGGAGAAACCTTTGAACTTCCAATTGCCCCAAGATTATCTTCAACCCGCTGCATCAAAAGCTTCTGATATGCAGATGCTTCACACCTAATGAGTCTCTCAATCTTTTCAGGAAGTTCATTCTCAACCTATTCATAGTATTTCCAGAATGCAGGAAGCATGTATAAATAGTTAGGCGTAACATCGTTCATAGAACAAATATAAATGAAAGATAAGACTCAAATCGGGATATCCAGTGAGAGAAGACCTTGTGTTTTAGTCTTCGTAGCATAAAGGGTCTCAGAACTTGATGAAGACGATTTATGACCAGCAAATTCTCTTCCTCAGATAATAAAGCCTAAGAAAAAAGAATCCAGGGCTTGCAGAATGAGAATAATAACAGCCAACACAGTATCTGAACCAGCGAATTAAATGGCTTACTTCATCAGCCGAGTTATCAGCAGTACCCTCAAATGGCTTGTTGAACCACTGAGAAAAATCTTCAGATGAATTAAAAATGTTGGGTAACAAAAAGTTTAGTAACGCCCAGAGTTCCTCAAGATTGTTCTGCAGAAGAGAAAAATATCAAGCAGTCAATTCATAACCCCCAACAAGAAGCCAAGGACAGATATAATGCATGAAGCAGACAAAAGCAAAAAAACCCCAAGTGAAAGCACACAGCTCCTAATTTATAGGCCATAATCAAAATTCAAAATTGCTAAATTCAAGGAGAAGAGGAAAAGAAAAATAATCACAGTACCTGGAGTGGTGTTCCAGTTAACAGCAGCCTGTGAGAACTCTGATAGTGCTTCAATTCAGCATTTAATTTGCAAGAAGCATTCTTTATGCGATGGCCTTCATCAATGATAATGTAGTGCCAATGAATTTTACTTAGTTTTGGTCTATCATGCTTGTTCATTAGGTATTCATATGTTGTCAGAAGGACATTAAACTTCTGGTGGACAATCTTCTCCCTGAAATGAACAGAAACAACCTTGATGACATATGGGATCAGACACAACAGAAGAGAACAAGAAAACAAGTACATCAAGAGTCCTCATGCACTTACTTAAATAATTTACGCCTATCTTCTGGGGGTCCAGAATATACAATTTTATGTATACTGGGGGCCCAGAAACTAATTTCCGATTCCCATCCTGGTAAAACAGAAGAAGGCACAACCACCAAGAAAGGACCTCTGTCATTTTTGCTCTCCATCAGATAACAAATTAGAGATATGACCTGCTCAAAGCGCATGGTAGAAATGAAAGTCATTAGTTTTCGAGATATAGCAACTAACTGACATATTGTATTACACACAAACCACATACCTGAACAGTTTTCCCAAGGCCCATTTCATCAGCAAGAATTCCATTCAAATGGTTGTTATATAGTGAAACCAACCACCTCAATCCATTCATCTGGTACCTGAAGAACATAAGGACAATTTATGAAATATAAAATATTAGTAAGTCCAGAATGACAAAGCACATGCATCTATACACGATATCACCCTCGCACATTAATTGAACATACGAGACAAGGATATATCCATTGCCCCAACAACACACTTATGCATAATGCAGAAGTGCTTGCACACAGAGACATACAGGGGTAGAGAGAGAAAAGAATCCATAAACAGCTAAGAAAGCATGCTGTACTCACTCCCTCAATTTTCCACCCTTGAGAGAAGTTGGCTGCTCTGCGATGCCCTCTTTTATACTGCGTAACAAGTGCCAACCATTATTGATCGGAAAATTATAACAAAGGAAGATAGGACAGGGAAATAACTGGATGTGAAAAAGTTGAAGCTCCATATTCCAACAAACAGAGTAAAAGAACAATCTAGAGGAGCAAAGACAAGAATGGTTTAGTTGTTTAATGAAACAAAAAACCAAAATACAAAAAAGAAAACCAATCCTCAACAATACACAAAATGGGGACACATTTTAGAATATAAAGATAACAAAGGCTGCTTATATACCTATGAGCCATCAGGTAGTACTTCTCATTGCTTTCCAAATAATGCTGGAAGACAACAGGAATAATGAGAATGGAAACCAAACACATATAACACAAACTCAAGATCGCTCATATGAGACTTGCCTTTGCTTGGTCACTTTCATCTTCGTTATCGAAAGTAGTTTCATTCTCAATAGCAGCAATAGTTCTTGATTCATCCATGTTATTCTCAAAACGGCTTCCAATAGCTTTTGCTGCCTGTAGCCTGGAACCCAGCTTTTGCAGGTACTTCTCTGTTTCTTTCAGCAATTGCTTAACACGATCTGATTTTGCATCCTACGTAATAACCACCAACTAACATTGCAACAAACTTGATAAAAAAGCTGGTAACAAAGATTCGGTGCACTTCAGAGAACAACATCTGACCTGCACCATACGTAGATATCCTTCGACATCATTGATCTTCAGCAAATTAATCTTCTCGCGCTGGATTCGATCAAGTTTCTCACGGTGAGCACGCTCCTTCCTTTTGTGAAACTCCTTTACATATCTGTTAAAACCCTTCAACCTTTCTCTCTTGAACTTGAACACATCCTCCAATTTTTCCCTGGAGTTAGGCCAACCAGCTAGTCAGTAAAACATTATCTGAAACTCGAAAATGAGCTACAAAGATCAAAGATAACAGCTCCATATTCATCTATAAAGGATAAAGGAAATCAAACCAAGAAGAAAATTGAAGCCCTCACTTGTGAACTTCTAGCTCAGAAAAAAATTCCTTCTGCCGCTCTCGGATTCTCTTCTGTCGCTCTTCCTTCATCTTTTGTTCATACTTTTCAAGTTGTTTTATCCTTCTACCATGTTTATGCTTTTTATAAGATTTTAAACGCTCCACGTCGTTTGTGACAGGCTTAAAAAAATCATTCAGAAACTCACTGCCAAAATTTACCACCATAGAGTTAAAGGGAGTCAAAATTATTAACAACAGGCAGGGAATCATCAAATTAACACATGCATGAAGGAACCCAATGAGTGAACTCTTGGAAAGAAAGGGGAGAGTCTTTACCTTCTCAAACGGCGCTGCAGATCCAGCAACTTCAGTTTTTTCAATTCTATGACACTTTTGGTTCTGGCAGATATATCTTCACAGGAGCTCACAGTTACCTTAATGAATTAGAAGCAGGAAAAAAAAAACAGAGAGAGGCATGCACAAGCAAGCCCATACTACATCAGTACAACATTCAAATCCTAGCCAATTTTGTTAGCACAAAAAGAAAAGTATAATAAAAACTAAAACCTAAATGAGGAAAGCACCAACAAGTACACAAAAGAGAACAACAATACAAGAACACAGAGTATCATAGCGAACCTGTAACTGGTTAAAACGAATTGTTATTCTTTGTCTTGCTTTTTGCTCCCTTAAGGCCCATTTTTCTTCTACTAAAAGCTTCCTTCTTTGCTGATCCATAATCCACTTCTCTGACATGGTGTACCTTGGGGGAGGCAAATGCACAGAAGCTGAGTTGTCTTCATCATCTGGTTCAGCTAAAGCAGGGTTTCCATTTCTTGAAAAATCATCAATTTGCGGGACTTGGCACCCTTCTGGATTATATCTAGTTTGATATTCAGAGAACTCTGCATCATCTGCAAGTAACCAAAAGAAATGACACATCACACATGCATGGTAAGTGCTACTGCTGATAACACCTCCAAAGGTATAATCCAGCAAATGGTACACATGTTTTGCCACATATGAACCTCAATGAACCGAAAAGAAACCATCATCGATAATTTAGTTACCAGAGATACCACCGTTGACAAGATTTTGGGATTGCATAGGACCAATGTCCTTTTTGTTCAGAGCCACGTTATGCTGAACACCCCATGATGGTAATGATTCCTGAACCACCTCATTACGACTTCCTGCCCAATTCATTGCCTCAGGGTTCAGTTGCTTGTTTACACCAGTTAAGAAAGAGGCCTGATTGGCTCTCCCACTCTGGACATATCCGTTATCCATGCTTTCCACAGTTTTCCCAATTAGTGAACTGCCCCTAGTATTCGATGAATCATCCTGCTGAACTGGATTAGAAGCGAACAACTGTGCCCCAACAGTTTCCGGAATTTGCTTCTCAGCATCCAGCTTTCTTGTCACAAGGTGCTTCCCATAATCGGCGAGTACCGAATGGTCAGAATGTGAACCTACTTTGTCCTCCGTCTTCAATTTGTCAACATCTTTTTGTAAAGAGTTGCCATCTGAATATCTTAAAGCAGCTGAGGCAACTGGAGGAACCTTATCAGTTTCCCTTGCACTATTTGCCCATGCAAATGGCCTTGCAACTCCTGGAAGGTTGGTTTGCTCATTAGAAGATTTTGCTTTCTGATCCACCAGCTCCCTGCGAATAGCTTCTGCAATTGCACTAGATAATTACCAACTAGAAACTATAGGGGTAGTGTAGATTAAGCTCCAACAGAAGTTTTATATTGGCTGTGTGAAACGTCTTGTGTATAATTTTAAGAGCTAAAACTTAAGTTGTAGGAGTAAAAGTGGTTAGATTTTATAAGCAGTGTTGGTCAAATAATAGATTCTTATTAGTAGCAAAAGGAATGGGTGAATGTAAAATAACTATAATAGAAGTATCAAGTGACCTTGCCATCTAGTCAAGAAGCAGTTCTTACCATCTCTATTAATGATACTTCCAAGAGCTATCTCCAGATGTAACCTTTTGGGAGCCAGCCTGTTCCTGCATATTCAAATAAATAAATATTGCAGAAAACTAAGTGAACAAATAACTCACCCTCCATTTGCCATAAGAAGTCACAAGCACAAAAGGTCTTGCCCACCTAAATGCTAGAAAGACAAGGCACTGGGCCCTAAGCTGCCTCAATTGTTGCTCCTTGAAAGGCATGCCAGGTGAAGCATTACCCTGAGAAATTGGAGATTTTCCCGTATCTCTAGAAGCCGCTGTCGCCTGGTAATAATTACATGCATTACTAAAACCACATCCAAAACATAGTGCACAAGCATTTGATTCAAGAATCAACGGAAGACACATCTTCAAGATCCAAACCATTGACTAATATAAGTTAAGATGAAACAGCCATTCAATGGCAAAAAATTAAGGGTATAGTACAATCTACACTTAGTCCCCTAGACTCCTATCCAAAATTGAAAACAGATGCCAGCAGAATCTAAAGCAATTGACGCAATTGAATTGTCGAAATCCTAAATGAGTTCTATATTTCCAGACTTGCAAATCAAAGTTGAGTTTCTATACGAAAATTGCTAGAGTACCTCACTGAACCTAGTCGGGTCTCCAAATATATTTGAACTGCCTCCATTATTTTCTGGAACCATTCCGACTGAAAGCTCCATGCGGTTAAGTTGGAAATTATGCCCTCCAGTGGTATTCTCAGAGGGACTTGCTGCAGTATGTCCTGCAAATCCACACAGGTAACTTTCAGGACCACTTATCTGCCCTGAACCAGAAAATCCTAGTTCCCCCATTGCATACGAACCAGAAGGAAAATATATTCCATCCTGCGATTTCCTAAAAAAATCTAAAATTGAAACACACAGACAGCTAGACAAATAAGCAATCTGTTAGGAAGAAGCTATTATTTTTGTCTTCTATGGTATAAAATTAAGCAGCATGAAGCAGTTTAAAGGGAAGCAAGAAGTTTAACAGACAACTTAATGTTATTCTTTCCTCTAAAATACTTGACTGGCTTCGAGGGGGAAAGTTTGGACTCAGTATGATGGACCACTCTTGATTCTTGGCCAATTAAAGGCATACCCCAAGCCCCAAGGAGTAAGCCCAAATGTGGTGGATGATAACCTCAAACTAAATCTAAGTTCAAAGCTTAAGGATAACATTAGAAAAAAGTGGTAAGAGAAAACATAAAACACAACATGATTTGTTGAGTGATCTTACTTGATACAAGAGATGGTACCATTGACTGCTGCAAAGTTGCTTCTGCGGGCACACCGCCAGAAACAACATTGGCCGAAAACCTTGGGACCTGAGACCGATCCAGTGCTACAGCTGCCTTATTTTGATTCCACGTTCCGGTAGAGAGATTTTCATGTGCAGGTGGAAACGAATCCCCTTGCTGTTGACCGAAAGATGTATGTGCAGATGAAGCTTCCAGCTGACTACCACCAGGAACCATACTGAAGCTACTATTTTCACTGCCCCTAGTAGAGAAACCCCCCGATGGGTCAACCCTGTTGGCCTTTCCTTTCCTCATATCAACTGCAGAATGAGCATCAGCCTGTTGGGAGTCATCGATATGAGTCTCTGATGGCAAAGAAGAATCACCCCGCTTCCTCTTGACAGCCGTTTTACCATCCTTTTGATTTCCCCCTCTATCTTGAGATTGTGAATTAGCAGACCTGGTATCCAAACTCGAAGGACTTTCATGATCAAGAGATCCCTGATAAGCATCATGGACAGCACCAGCAGGGACAACAAGCAGCTTGTTGGTGACCAAGGAATCAACCTTAGATACCTCATTGTCAGCCATAGCATGAGAAGGACCTGCACAGTGTTCCCAAAATATGACAAAAAGTACAAAATTATTGTCATTTTGAAAAAAAAGGAAGCAAAAACTATCACGTAAACTGATTCAGACACCACAAGTTTCACCTGCATAACGCGCACCAGCTGAGTCTCCGCCTTGGGACCCCCCAGACATAGGAAGACGTTGAGATTTCAAAGATTCAATATCAAGGCCATTCTGGTTGATAACAGTCTCCATAGCCCTTGACAGAACAACAAGGCAATGTTAGCACAACTATGAACAACTCACCATTTTCACCATAGCATAAGTGATCACATTATCTGTAGATATAAGTTCAACAAAATACAATCCCGAAGAAATGGTCAACTCACCATTTTCAAACATATACTTAAAGAAATGGTCAATGTACTCTACTTCTCTTGATTCCTGATCTAGTTGAATAAAAAACGTGGATATTTAATGCACACATATGGCATTTCTATTATTCAGAGTGGGTTCACAAGTAACCATCAGCTTCAGGTTGGGAGTACCCTTGCCCAATAATGACTATCACAAAAATCAAATTGTTGTATCATTTTTTCCCCAATTCATCAGTCATGTTGCTCCTCTCATCAATCAAGGAAGATACTAGGCTAGTATAGAGAGAAACCCGAAATAGTTACGAAAAATGGACCATCCATGCATGGCTCACCTGTGCAATACCCCAAAAGATGAGACATGTCATAGAATTATAGGTTACATCAGAAGACATGGCGATTGAACCCCTCTCTTTCAACAAAGAGTACACAGAAAAACAAATGTATCGTGACAAGGCGCATGAAGCAAACTGGAGATTATGAATTGAATAAGTACCCACTAGAAAAAAATTGACAGCAGACTAATATAAGCTTACCCAGTGTGAATGAAGTATTCATGCAGGTCCCCATTACTACCACTAAATTAATTGACAAACCAAAGCAGAACAAAAGCTTCCAGGTTGCATGTGGATAATATTAATGTTAACTAGTAGTATGCTTCACCTTGAAATTACTTGATAGGGCATGGAGTGCTCCTTCCCGCTCGATTTCATATGTTGCAATATCTGCAATGCATAATCATTCACGGAATTCAGTTCTAAACTTAAGGGTACGAAATGAGACAAAAGTGGAGGAGTGTTCATCGAATGAGTGCAGCACTCACAACATGAAGCTTCGCAGCCAGTTTTGCTGGCTCATCGGTCGACTCTTGAATTAGTTTATGTAGAAACTTTGCAGCCTCCAATTCCACATTATGAGAAGGCTGTGGAGATGCCATCTCATGCCACTTTCTGAAGGAAAATCAAACAGAACATGGACAATACGTAGAGTCAATCTCCATAATAGCTTTATGAGTAATCACAACATTCCCTCCCCACTCTCCCCTAAAAAAAACCTCTTTTTCTCCACTCTAATCGGGACAATGCAGAACTCCACAAACTGCTGAAGAATTTCGGAACATCAAATGAAGAAAGGAACCACTCTACCATAGTTATCAAAACCCACTCTATACGAAACCAACACAATAAAATGTCCCTCGGTCTTAAAACTCCAATGCATGAGCTTCTGTCCGCTGGTATTTCATACATGCACCTAGGGTTCGGACGAAAACAATTACAGATACCACCACAACCTGCCCATCATTAGGAAAACCTAATAACGAGGGATAAACAACAATTCAAGCTAAGCAATTTGAAGACTACTACGATCTTTAACAAATGCGATTGAGCATCATCAAAACTTTGGCGAGCACAAGACCAACCACACGGAAGCAGGAACAGGGCCAACAGCTCCCTGAATCACACGAAGTTTTGCATGTTCTGCTTAACCAGACTTTCTACCAGTTTGGAGAGAGGAAGGAGAGGACAAATTCGACCGGGCGACCAAGAGATTCCCCCGGAAAAGAAACATACTATCCTGGAAAACTCCGGAGGAGTCAAAAATGGCAAGCGAAGAGCCAATACCGTAGAAGAGGGGCACGGAAATGGCCGCAAGGGAGGTTTACCTGATCGGAGATCAGAGCAGGGGAATTGCGAGGAGACAGTGACTCAGTAGCTGAGCTACATGAACGAAAGAGTTTCCAAAATAAATATTTGTGCAGTTGTGCAAATGAAAAAGATTTAATTTTGACGACTGCAGCGAAGGGTTGACATAAGGTTAGACTAAGCTAAGGAGTAAGGAGAGGAGCCTAATCCAGTAATTAGCTATTCAGTTTATGATGTATCCATAAGTTAACACTAGTAATATTTGCTATCGATCATGTTGATTCAGTAAGCTATATTGAAGTTCTAAGTCATAGGTAAGAAATTTTGTTTCCAAACTTGAAGTTATTAGTCGAAGATTTTAAAATAATTGTTGACGAACTCTGACTTTATACCATAGGACGAGACACAAGATATTTTTAAAATGACACGTACGAAAGTTATAGAAATTTTTGTTAAAGATGTACGATCAACATTACGTCTCATCAATCACTGACCTATGCAATTGATAAAATACTAGTTGCCAATTTTCGTTTAATAGTTAAATATCTTGGTAGACAATACTAAATTCGAGGACGATGTGTTAGCCAAAAACTTCTATAGTTACGGGAATTTAAACCAAGGTATTGAGTTAAAAATGAGGAATATTTAATAAGTATGAGTTCAGTAAGATAGTTATAAGAAGACATTTGGTTATATGGCTGTGAGCCTGTGGCTCAATACCATGTTTGGATAATGATGTAAACATTTCGATATCGAAGTCTCAAAACAAAAATATTTTAATTTGTAATAAGCAATTCGTTTTTACATCGTGTTATCCTAGCCACAATATTTGTTTTCATATTCCAGTTAATGAGTTGAGTTCAAACTGCACAAATATTCATTAGGTTATAATTTAAAATAAACTATTTATATATATGTTTGGATATTTACAATAAATTTGTCTACTATACATCCAAGAATCCAAATGCATGTGAAATGTCACATTGTTTTTTCTTAATATCATAAAAAACTATAAATTAATCATTAAAGCATAGGTCATTTTAATTGCACCTGAAATCTAATTAAGTGTGTTTTAGTCTCACTTTATCAAATTATTAATAAATCAATGGAATTTTTCTCAGGAACAAACACCAAAGATAAATAAATTTTAGCAAATACACATTCAAAAATAGAAAAATATACACTAAAGGACCATGTTTAGACTTGAAACCTCGATAATGTATGTGAATATATTGGATTGGGATCCAAAAGAGTTTAACTATATAGTTAAATTAATTCATGAATGATGAAACAAAATTATCCCGTAAAAAAACTAATAATCTATCTATCTATCTATAAAATATATAAAGGACTTTGTGATTTTGACCTCCTCCACGTAAGCGCTTCTGAAAATCTAACCTATCCACGTCAGCCTAAAACCGTTGTGCCCAAAGTTGCCTCCGATTCTCTCTCCATCATCCGTCTGTTTAAAAATCCGTCTTTTTCCACGGTATGCCTCCACGTTTTCCTCTCACCGACTGTGTTCCTTCCCAAATCTGTAAAACTTTTCATCTCCGCCGGTACCCGCAGCGAAAATATGTGGAACCTGAAACTACTGCCTTCGCCGCAATGAATCATCGTCAATGATACCCACTTGACCGATGCGATTTCATCTAACATTCAATTTATTCGATTTCAACCATACTCTGTCTTGATTAATCCGAAGATTTGATAGTTTGGAGGGGAATCGTATTGGATTCAACACATCTGCGGGAGTTGAAAAGAGGCAACCGGTTGGCATATCTGGTGGAAATCGTATTGGATTCCCTCTTCAATCTCAGTGATTACGTTGTATGGGTGTTACGGTCTCTGCTAATAGTCGGTTTGACGGTTTGTCATATGAATTTCCCTTTTCCATCTCTTTGATTTATGCTCTTCATCCAATAGGCCGGACGGAATCCTCCCTCACAGATGCATAGCTCCGATTTCAAATTGCAAGTCATTAGGTTTATTCTGAATTATGCGGCCGCTGAAAATTCTCTTCATTTTAATGTTACTAGTAAGAGCCCGCTCGCTACGCTTCGCGTGTAGGTGGGAGCATAGCATTGTGACCCGGGAATCGATCACGTGAGCAAATCAATCTGGATTCTTAGCTTAGTAGAAATGTTGAGAAAGGCACATAATTTTCTTAGAAAGGTTTATATTCAATATTAGGAGTCCCAAATAGCATAAAAACTTGTTTTTATTAGTAGTGTAACGAAAGTTGCATAAACTATAGGGGCTTGTAGCATATGGAAGATAAACAGCCGCTTCATTTTAAGTGCACAGCTGAGATTAATTGACATCAGAAAATGCACCAGAGCGTAATGGCCATCTTCTTTGATGTCTTCGGTCAATGTTTCTGCAGTTCTTTTCTTCGACTTTGGTTTTGCCATCTCTGGAAGTTCCTTCTTGCACTGGCTGCCTCTCTCCGTTAATGATGAACTACAAAAATAGCTTGAATTCTAAGAAAAAGCAAAGATGCACAGTTTGACAGGCCATATATGGAAGCACGCATAAGGAAATTTGTATAGAAGAGTTACATAGTATCCAAACCCTAACTCTTGAGGTTACATGACAATTAAACAAACAAAGACTTCAATCAACTGGAGTTTCTCCCGCACAACAGAATGGAAAGCAAAGAATTCATTAGTGAGATTCACATTAAGACAAATGGCTTTGACAAAGTACATAAAGAGAGGCAGCCAAAGAAGAGTCAATCCAACTGGAGCAAAACATAGTTAATACCGTATGTTAGGAGCCTTGCGTTGAAAGGCCATTGAGCAAGTAGAAGCTGCAGCTGACATCATGCATAAAATCTCATACACATATAGTGTCTTAAGCAAATTGGGGTCTCTTCAAGCTAAAATGTAAGACTCCTGAAACATCGAAGAACAAATAACCAACTGATAAGAAAAAACATCGTAGAAAATCCCCAGTTAAATACAGCAAGGTCTTTGTTTGACCTGAGTACGTAGGGATTAAATGACTAATTCCTCCATATGCCTCACCCATCAGATGAACCTGATCCCATAGTCTTGTTTTAGAAGTGTGATTTGAGATTACACATACACAGGCATGAAGATGAGAAGCTGGTTCCTTGTTAGAAGAATAATGAATGAAATTACTTGGTCACCCTTCAGTATCTAAAAGCACTACATCATGAGCATAACCGAGCATCTCGCCTGCTTTCTCACTTGCAGTACCAACCATATGCAATTCCATGACAATACCAGCAGCTTCACCGTTGCAACACACTCCTAATAGCATATATATATATATATATATATATATCTTCATCATTAGCGAGTAATGGGGAGAAATTGCAAACAGAAGCATTCCAAGACTTGAGAGCCCTTTTCATTGTATCAAAAGAATATCTTATTCAGAGGCACCAGGGTGCTTAAACGTACAAAGTAGTTGGATAACAATAAATATCCCAAATCCAGCCTAAGCACCATTCAATTCATCGTCCCTTTCTCCATAATCACCTCATAACCACCCACCCTAAATGCCTACCCCCTCCTTCAGTTTGGCAGACCACCAAATTATTACATATATATGATCTCTCCCACAACCCAAAAGGCTCCCCCGACTTTTAATGGGAGATAGATGAATTCAAAAGGTACAAATTCAATAACCATATAGGGATTTACAAAAATGAGAAACAACATCCTGTGAGAGGAAATTCTGCCCCTCCCAACTATTTCCATCAAAGAAAGCTAACCCCTATGTACAACAATAAAACGAGTGATAAGAACTCTCTGTACTTACAAACATCCTGTGAAAGGAAATTTTGCTCCTCCCAACTACTTCCATCAAAGAAAACGACCCCTCTATACAACCATAAGACTGAATGATAAGAACTCTCAGTACTTACAAACCATATCTCAAAGGCAATCAACAGCTATACTGTAAACTTACAGTGCTCATATTGTAACTCCTCTATACAACCATAAAATTGATTCATAAGAACTTTAAGTACCTAAAAACCATATCGCAAAGGCAATCAACAACTATATTGTAAACTTAATGTACTCATATTCACTAAATAAAGAAAGGAAATGCTAGCTAGATTAGGGTAATGGTGCTGCTCCTTGCTTTCATTGCTGCAGGCAACAAAAGAAATAGCTTATGTAGTGGGGCTTTTAACTGTCTACTCATCTTGTTTTTGCTTTCCATTCATATCAAAGACCTTAACTTCTTCCACCTTATTCTATATATCCACATAAAAATTGGATCCAAACATAAACCTTCAGGTTTTTTTCTTCTGCAGTGTACTTCATTTCATTCATTCAGAATAAACTAAAACAAAAGTAGAAGCAGCGATGGGAGAAGGAAGTATCAAAACCTTAGCAAAGTTGAATAAAGCATCAGAGAATACAACGGTGGTTCTAGCTTGCGGTGTCGCAACCGTCCCGTCCGGGGGGTCCGATGTCGTCGCGTCGGCTTTTTTTTTGGGAGTCGCCATCGATCTTAGCTGGAGTGGATCGAACACTCTTAGGATCGGCTCTAACCTTAGGGTCAGAACCGAGATATGGTCTGCGAAAATGAAGTTCTGGGTTCGGGAGTACGGTTACGTGTAGGGAAGTTAAGCAACACCCCCACAACGCCCTAAATCGGTACTACTTAAGTCGATAAGTTTTATACGAGTTGGGTGTATTTTAGTAATAATTTGTAATTTTAGGGGTCCCACTGGACCATTTAATGATTTAATCATATTAGTTATAATTTAATTATACGCCCACTGACGTAAAAATTTAAAGATAAAGTTAGTTGATTAATTGGACTCGAACCTTATCGGTTGCCTACGTACCCGTAAGACGGGATCAAAGTCCACGTAGTTCGCTAAACTTTGATAGTTTAATTGTGACATTTTCATCACGCTCCATTGATCGTGATTTTCATATTATAATTTATGTTAATAAAATTTAATTTGATTATTATGAAATTATGAAAAGGGAATTTAATAATTTAAGTTATTTAGGAAGAGGCTTGACTCGTATTGGAAAAGAAACGAGATAAACTTAATCCGCATTTACCATTTCGTATTAAGAACTATAAACAAATAAAGTTAAGCGGAATGGTAAATTCAACATATGATTGTCGGCAGCCCAACTGGTCAAACCGTTAGCCTCCTCTGACCCAGAGACCGCGGGTTCGAAACGAACTGAGTGCAATTTTTTTGATTTTTTCGTTTTAGTGTGGGGATGGGGGAAGGGCATTCTAATAATTTCACGAAAACACGGTGGCAGGGCCGCGTAAATAGCCGGAAACCCTAGGGGCATTTTGGTCATTTTAAAACTTGAGGTATATATAGGCTCTTAAAGCGCAAAATCAAACCCTACTCTATTCGACCTAGCGGCCGCCGCTCAAACTCTCCCTCTCATCCCTCTCTATCTCTCTCGGCCAGAGACCACAAACCCTAACCCCCGATCCAAAACCGCCGCCGCTCTCTCCTCTCGTCCCTCGTCTCTCTCTCTCGCTCAGAGAAACACAAACCTTGCCCCGATCAAAACCGCCGCCGCTCTCCTCTCCGCGAAACCTTAATCGCCGCCGCTCTCCCTCTCTATCTCGCCTCTCTCTCTTCTCTCACTCTCATCCCTACCCAGAAATTGAAAACCTAAACTAAACCCATCTCAAGCCGCCGCAATCCTATAAACCTCTCGCCTCGTCACTTATCGCCCCGTCCGAGCTACGATGACCACGACATGCGCCGCCGGTGGTGATAAAAATCGAGTTTGAAGGTTCGTTTCTTTGTTTATTCTGTGATTTCTACCGTGTTCAAATATGATTTTAGGGTTTCAAGTTTCTAATCCCTATTTTATTTTCTTTTTATTTCCGGAAAAAGCAAACCCAGGGCCGAGATGGGCCTCGATCTAACTTCCCCTTCTTCGATCTACTCTCTTTCGTAGAAACGACGAGGATGATGAAGAGACCGGGTTAAGATTTTGTTTGCATGTCGGATTTCGGTGGATTTTAGATTCAAAATTAGGATTTTGATATTTTATTTTTGTTTTTATTTGTGAGAGGGTTTTGGTCGAGGAGAAGGTGGCTTCGGGCGGCGGGTTGCCGGCGGCGACAGGCCGACTACGACACAGGTAGGTTTTTTTTATTTGTTATATATTTGTTATTTTGATTTAATATCCCTTCAATTGACTCTGACTTCTATTCTTGTGTTGATGCAGGTAAAAATTAGATCTAGGTAGGTCTCCTATAACTCTCTTAATTTTGGATTTATGAGATATAAAACTGAAGCTGGATTACACTACAATAAGGTTGTGAGTGAGTTTGACTATATGGAATTTTGGTTTTTTATTTGTTTGTGGATGGTTGCGGATGTGAATTTTGGTGGTGCCGGAAATTGCTAAAAAAGGTAACGAAAATGGGCTACCGCTTGAAATTTTGATATATTACAAATTGCCAAAAATTATTTTTCCGTGATGGAGATGTAATTAACATCCTCTAAATTGCTTATCTTAGCGATTATAAGTCACTGCCACTTTTAGTGATTTTGCTAGACTATAGACTAAATTACTGTTATTGCTTGATTATATCAAATTTTGGACTCTAAATCACTGCTACTGCTTGTGATTTATTGAGATTATGATTTTTGGTTGGTAAACCGGTAAGGGTTTGTTAATCTGAAATTTTATTGTGTTTATTGTTGCCTAGATCTGGATTTTGATTTAGTTTGTTTATGTATGATGATCTAGTGTTTATCAACTACATGCTCAATGATGTATAAAAGCATGGCAGAAAATTAAAATAGACTATCAATTGATAAGCGAAGTAAATACATGCTCAACTGAGAGAAGCTTAATCCTGGAATGGACTTACTATGAGCAGATTTTATTTTAAGTAAATAGAGTGCTTGAACACAAAGGCCTTTGTATAGTAAATCGCATGAACATAAATAGGCAAACTTATGGATGATTATGAAGATACAATGATGTAGAAACTATGCCAAATGACATGAACTTTACCAAGAACCATGGAAACAGAATTAAAAGAACCAACCTTATTAAGACTTTGGCTCCAATAACGCCTATTTGATGCTGCTCTGATCCAATTCTTGAACTCAGCTTCGTATTGTAAAGAAGAGCTGTTTTTAGAATCTGTCTTTTTTCTTCCCCCCTCCGTCCCCCCTCAACAAAGAGCCACAAGAGCTCATTTATAGCAAACCAAGCCGCCACGTGTCGCCATATGATTCGTCCATTTTTTTATTTCGACTTTGAAGAGTGTGCCTGGTCGGTTGTGGATAGGATTTGGTTAGACCGATTTGGTTAAGGTCGGTTTATTGGGCTGGTCTCTGGATCGAACCAGTTGGCCAAGTTGGGCCTGTCGGGTTTGGGCCGAGTTGGGTCCAATCTGATTTATGTTTGGGCTTGAAAAGAAACTGGCTTTATACTTCTTGGACTTGAACTACTTTGGTTTGGGCTTAAATTGTGGACCTGGTATATTGGTTTGAGAACTGACTAGTTCTTCTCTTCTGTTGCAGGTCCACGGTTTATAAAGGAGTGGTCTTTTAATTGCATATGTATAATTTGTGACGGTCTACTTAATTACTATCTTTCCTTTGTTATCTATGTAATTCTCGATCAAATGTATCATGGAAGAAATAAAATGGCGAAGTATGTTTTTTTGTATTTATTGATTTGTTCTTTTCTTCTATGCATTGTAAACCAATGCTCAAATTCAAACCCAAACCTAAAGCGTATTAAGTTTCAAAATAGTACTTATCCTCGTGTCCATTTGAATTGATTCTTGGATTGTATATGAGCGGAAAATGGTAATCGTTGGTTCATATTGACTTGCCACTGCTAGTCTTAACCAAATTATTTCAAACTTCCTTCCCAAATATCATTGGTGCTACAATTAGTTGTTTATATATATATATATATATATATATATGACTAGCATGAATGTTCCGGACAAAATGTGGTGTCTACATGCGGATCCTGCTCAACCAAGTCGACTTCTCCATCTCTTCCTCCCTCCATCATGCATTCGACTTCATCTCTCACTGTAAGTCACAACCGTGCAACAAGACGCTGATAAAACTTTAGCAGCTACGTAACAACATGAACCCGCTAGGCAAGTGAAATTATTCGAGGCAGATAAAAAATGCAATTCCTTCATAGATCATAGCAAAGTAAAAATGCAATTCCTTCCGAGTGGCGTCGTTGAGACGCCGGTAGTCAATGCAGACACGGTACCCAGTCACTGTGCGCATCGGGATCAGCTCATTCTTCTCGTTAGGCACCACAGTCATCCCACCCTTCTTGGGTACCACAGCTTCACGATCTCTGCCCGAACCACAGCCTCCAGGTTCGGTGTCAGTCTCCTCTGCGGCTGTCTCACTGGCCGCATCTCATCCTCCATCAGTATCCGGTGGGAGCAGAAAGAAGGGCTGATCCCCCGGATGTCTGTGATCTTCCATGCGAGAGCTCGCTCGTACTGCTTCAGCAAGGTCACCAGTCTGGTCTTCTGCTCGGGTGTGAGGGTCGAGCTGATGATGACTGGCAGCTTATTCCCCTCCCGGAGAAATGCATACTCCAAATGAGGAGGGAGGGGCTTAAGCTCCAGCTCTGGTGGTTCCTCCAAGGAAGTAGCGATGCGGGTGGAGGATGAGATCGGTTTGAACAGCCTGTCGCCCTCCAAGAAGGGGCCACTCTCCAACTCGGCCAACTGCTCCACCAGCTGCGGCTCCTGCGATGCCTGCTCACCTAGCAAAATACAACGCTCAAGAACATCGTCAGTACCCGCACTCGTTATAGCGAGTGCGGTCTCAAAATCAGCAAGCATATCACAGTAATCTATGTCATCATGCAAATGAGAGTGTTTCCCATTCTCAGACACAGAAAAGGTAGCATGTTCATCACCAGCACGCAGAATCAATTTACCACTATGCATATCAATAAGCGCCTTGGCGGTGGTGAGAAACGGTCTACCTAAAATCAAAGGTACATCCACATCCTCATTTATATCCAAAATAACAAAGTCAACAGGATATGTGAATGCACCCACATTAACAAGCAAGTCCTCAATGATACCCCTAGGATGCACGATAGAACGATCAGCTAACTGAATGCTCATCCTAGTAGTTCTAGGTTCACCTAGGCCTAGCTTCTTAAACAAATTATAAGGCATGACATTTATGCTAGCGCCTAAGTCCGCCAAGGACTTTCCTACATGCATGCTGCCAATAACAAGAGGGATAGTGAAACTCCCTGGGTCTTTTCGCTTCTCGGGCAGCTTGTTCTGCAGGATGGCAGAACACTCCTCGCTCAGCATCACTGTCGAAAGATCCCCAAGTTTCTTCTTGTTGGTGAGGAGGTCCTTCATGAATTTGGCATACTTGGGCATCTTTGACAGTGCCTCCACGAACGGCATGCTGATGTTGACCTGCTTCAACATTGCCATGAACTTGGCAAACTCAGTCTCCAGCTTGTCTTTATGCAGGCGAGTGGGGAAAGGAAGCTGAGGTACATGCTCCTTAACCACCGGCTGTGGCTTGGGAGCAGGCGTTGTTGTGTCTTCCCCCACTTCTGCAGTATCAGCTGGAAGTGTTGAAGCATGTAGTGGCTCATCTCGACTGGGCTGGGCAGGAGCAGCTAATGTGGTCTTGCCACTCCTGGTAGTGATGGCATCAAGCTGCTGGAGCTGGTTAGGATCACGAGGATTCGGAACAGTGGTGGCAGGCAAAGTCCCCGGTGCCCTGGTGGTGTTCTGGCGGGCCAAGATACCCACCTGGTTCTGCAGATCTTGCAAGATGGCACCCTGGTTCCTCTGACCTGCCTCCAATGACGTGATAGCTGCCTGATTGCTAGTCATGAACGAAGCTAGAATATTTTCCAGCTGCGTCATCTGAGTATCTGGAACTGGGGCTGCTGCTGGCTCGGCAAACTGGCGCTGGGACTGCTGGAATGGTTGCCCCTGCCTAGGCTGGTAGGGCTGCTGCTGTGGAACTGGGCCCTGTCGAGCCTGGAAGGGCTGCCTCTGCTGAAAGCCACCAGCTGGTGCTGGGAAACCAGGTGGCTTAGTGGTGCTGCTGCCCCAAGAGAAGTTGGGATGCTGGCGCCACCCCTCATTATATGTGTGGCTGTACGGGTCGAGGCGCCGAGCATTGGCGATGAAGTCCAACTGCTCTTGGGGAGTAGTAGACTCCCTCATAGCCTGGCAGTCTTCCACTAAGTGATTTGAGCTCTCACACCACTGACACTGAGCAACTGGAGGTGTAGCCAAACCTCTGCCCGGAATAAGACTGTTGGGCTGCTTCAATGTCTGCACTAGCTCAGCTACCTGCTGCTCGAGCCCGGATCTGGTCTCCATGGCGTGCACACCACGATCCCAGGAATGTCTGCCTCGGCTACCCTGTCCCCAAGAATGATCTCTAGCAGCCAAAGTACTGATCATCTGGTTCAGCTCGGGTGGAGTCTTAGTAAGAATATCCCCTCCTGGGCATAGAGACTCAATCACCCTCTGGCTATCTGGAGAGAGGGCACTGTAGAAGTTCCCCACTGTGAATGCATCACTAAAGCCATGATGGGGACACTGCCAGAAATAGCCCATGTACCGCTCCCAAGCATCACGAAGTGACTCATCTGGCTCTTGGCGGAAGTGAGTGATCTCCCGCTGGATCTCTGTAGTCTTCGATGCCGGATAGTAGCTGTGCACAAACTTGTCAGCCAGATCGTCCCAAGAGGTGATGGACAATGGGGGCTGGGTCTCCAACCACCTCTTAGCATTCCCCGCCAGAGAATGGGGGAAGAGATGAAGGCGGATTGCATCATCCGGGACACCATTCAGCTTGAACCCGTTCGTCAGCTGCAGAAAACGGGAAAGATGTACCCTGGCCTCCTCATCCTTCAAGCCATGGAACTGGATAGAGGATGTAATGAGTTGAATCCAGCATGGCTTGATCTCGAAGTTGTTTGCTGGAATAGGCGGGTAGAGGATGACCGGGCGGATGTCAGCAATCCGCGGAGTGTAGTAGTACTCCAAGGTGGGACCCAGCGGCGGGTGATGATGATGAACCCCATGATCCTGGGGTATGGGGTTGTTCCCCAGGACCTGATTCACCGGGGGAGCCTGCTGAGGATTCCCCTGGTGTTGATTGTAGTTTTCCATCTCGTACTCCTCCTCAGAATCACTACTCACGTGGCCGTCTATGCGCTCTTCCGTAGCCAGTCTAGCCCGCTGTTGTCTCCTGAGTTGGCGACAGGTGCGTTCAATCTCTGGATTCAACGGCAGTAAACCTCCCGACTGGCTACGGGTCATGCACTACCTGCACACAATCAAGCAAGCAAACCCGTGAAGGCACAAGTGGGACAAAGCAAAAAGAAAAGCTAAATTAACAGAAATCACTTTTCTTCAACAACCTAGCCGTCCCCGGCAACGGCGCCAAAAACTTGACTCACTTCTACTGTCACTCCAGGAATTGGCCAAGTGTAACCATTTCCTAAAGCGTAGTATAGCGGGTTTGGGTTTAATTATCAACCCGGGTCCTAGATTTGATGACTACTCAGTGAATTCTTGTTATCTAGCAATGAAACTTTAGTGAAGGTCTAAACTAATAAACTAACAAAGCAAGTAAACTGTTGTATTCAGGTTAAGAGAGGTTACTCGGATATGGTTCCCCCTAGACTGCAGTTAAGCCGGATTGTAATTACCAAGTTCAGTTTCTATGATAGTTATACTGCGGAAGGTTCTTAAACAGCATGAAGTCTCGACTAAAGGTCTTCAGACCCTCTCAATCTGAGTCTCTAGCGGGCGACTAACCTCCACCGGAGTAAACAGATTGAGGCCTTAACAAACAAAACCTCCACTACCGGAGTAAATCCGGTACAGAATAGTGAGTTGGCTCCTCGACTAAAGTCACCAACTCCCTACCTTCAATCAAGGATGCTCTATCAACCTAGGCAGATATTCTCATTCTAGGTCAAAGCAGAAACAACAGGAATTTGATCAGGATTCAAGTCATTCAATCATTCAAACCTCAATCGAATATAATCAAATCATAGAATCAGTACTTGGGTTCATACAATCAAAGTCTAACATACAAATCTAGGGTTCTCCATACCCAGATGAATGGGAGAACTACTCCATGGAGAAAGAAGCAAAAGCATAATCAGACGCGGAATTCATACTGTGAAGGATGAATTCCTGCTTCTGGACGTTGATCGGCACTTCTTCAAGCTCAAACTGGCCTCCAATGGTGATGAAGATCAAGCTAGGGCACTTGGAGACTCTTGTTCGTCGCTTTCTCTCTCTAGGAATCGCTCTGTCTCTCTAAAACTCGAATCCCCCCGACTTGTGGCTGAAAATCTGCTTAAAAGCAGAAAATCCCGACTCACACGGCCAGGGTGGCACGGCCGTGTGACTTACCCAGTTGCCCGTGTGAGTCAAAACGCTGCGTTCCAATTAGTTCGATCTTCAGGCTTCTCACACGGCCAGGGTCACACGACCGTGTGAGATTTCCATCTGCCCGTGTTTGCTCTCGGCGAAACTCGCACGGCCAAACCCGCACGGCCAACCCACTCCTTCACACGGCCGTGTGAACATCAGGGCAAGCCGTGTTTGCTCTCGCACAATCTCACACGGCCAAAGTGGTCACTTGCACGGCCGTGTGAGTTGTGGGTGTGCCCGTGTGACCTCCTTTGTGACTTGTCTCACGCCCGATCTTCGCCCAATCGACCCCGAACTCGCTCCTAAACCTTCATTCACTTGCCAGGACCCGAAATATCACAAACAAGCACAACCTAGCGTGAAATCGGTCTAAAACACGAGAAAACACATCTCAAACGGTGTAAGAACAGGGGTGAAAACATGTGTAATTAACGGTCTATCAACCTTCTCCGGCAGCCTCGATCGCTGTAATTTTTCAGATGGCATCGCCTCTCTTTCCCTCTGCCATCGTCACTAGAAGCCCATGTTTTTTTTTCCTTCGCCATCTCCTCTTCTTATTCCTCCTGCACAAAGATTGACCTTGCCATCTTATACAACGTCGTGAGAGAGCGAGAGATGGATACTTGGTATTCAGGCAAGAAAAGATTGGGGATGGAGGAGGATAGCATTCCGTCGAGTGAGTGTTGTCGAGCGGATGAGTGGGGAGAGTAGCGGAAGAAGGATTGGGAGAAGAGAAGGCAGCGGCAACAACGGAGGGATTCCCTTCCGGAGAACGATCGCGACCAGGGTAAAGGGCGACTGAGTTGGGATTCCGCCGAGAAGCTCTCCATAGCAGAGCAAAATTACTGGGTGGAAAAGCTTGTGAAGGTGAAAGGAGCGCGCAAAGCAAAGAAGTACTTTAGCCAACCCCGTTCTTCGATTCCCAAGGAGGAAGAGAGCATCGTAGCGTTCTGGGTGGGCTGATGTGGGAGCAGTGACGACTGATGTTTTGGTGGTTCGGTGACGACGTCGGGAAGGGACGGCGGCTGGTGAGTCGGGAGGAGGGTCGGCAGGTGTTGGACTGGAGCGGCGGTCACGGCGGTGGGCGGTGGCGCGCGGCATGGCAAACCCTAGGTTGGAAGTGACGTAGAGGGGTTAGGAAGGGGAGAATGCACCGGCGCACTGGTATGGGAAGTGTTGTAAAGGAAAGGGTTTTGCGAGGAATGAAAGTAGAGGAAGCATGCTTGTCTCTGTGGCGAGTTCCAAGGAGTATGGCAACTTTCTGCGGCATTGGTAGCGTGCAAGAATAGAGAAGGGAAGGGAAAAAATTTCGAGGTGGAGAAGACAGGCCGCAAGGCGAAGGACAGAGCGTAGCAGAGAGCAGGTTGATTCAGAGGGAAGGAGAGAGCAGTTTGCGCCTAAAAAATCCGGCGGACAACGGAGAATTTCGGCGGACAAAGAAAGCGAGTGGGGTAAAAAGGTGGGTTGAGAATTTGTGGGATGGGTTTCTTTTTGCCGTGATGTTTTCTTATCACATGGAGATTTTGGGTTCCTTTTTTATTTTGTTGCTTCTCTTTTCCGGGTTCGCTTCTCCTACTTCATTGTTGCTTCATATTCGTCGCTCACAATCCCAGATAAAACAAGATAGTTTTGACCGATCCCCTCTGCATTGTGAAGCAGAACCCTTCCTTCTAGCAATTAATTGAAGTACTCCGAGAAAGAGATCAAGTTATTGTCTATGTGCTTCCCTTCTTCTTTGATACAATGTTTTACATGGAATGTTTGGAAAGAGATTGCAAAACATAGCGATGGGGAATAAATATAAGTTCTAATAGAATATGGGTTCCTTAGAAACTATTTTTTTTTAAAGTACAGAACGATACATCAAATATAACTTGAGAGTATGCATGGAAGCCATTGTAATGGCTAATTACATACAACTACATTTTAGCAATAATATCAAAAGAAGAGGAAATTGTTACAGACTACTGAGCTATTAGATTTCAAGGGGATAAACTCCATGTTAAGTTGCCAATATGCAGGTTAGAAATTACTTGAAATTCCGGGTAAAACCCCCACAACTGAACTACTTCGAAAAAGAAAGCAATGAATGATCCAAAGAAAAATCTTTATTTATGCTGCATAAATTATGCATGAAATTATGTTAATGCATGAAATTTGTTTGGCATGATATAGAAGATATGAAGAAAACAACACAATAGAATCCAGGAAACCCCAACCTACAACGAACCCTTCCAGCGCCACAACATAATAAAACTAACCAGTGGACTAACACCAGATACTTTAAAATTGGCAAGACATTCACACAACCTTTTGCACGTGACACATTGAATTAGAAGAAGCGCAAGCGTACTTTGATTCAACCTGATCGATCCAAGATGATACTATCATCACTTGCCATGATAGGCTATGATGCCACTAACAACCAAACATCTCCAATTGATACTATGTTTATGTTTTACATATATGAACTTTACGTATATTTTCATGTAAATGATTAATACAACTGCTTTCATGAATACAACTGCACACCACAATGCACGATAATATATTAGATTCGGTCAAAGGCCGAACATATAACTAGTAATATAATATACACTTTCCCAAATTAGACTTCATCATTTCAAATTTTATCAATTCTCATGCGTCTATGTTGGCCTTGATTTCCCACATTACTTTCATTATAATTTTTAACTTGAAATTAATTAAAAATAAGCAAATATAAATAATCATTACTAGAATTCAAACACACAACCTGCAAGTCTCGTGTTATTATTATAGTGTAAAGTTTCTAACCAATAAGATAAATTTTATTTGATGATATTAATTGTATAACTTATAAGATAAACTTCTTTAATTATGTTAATTATTATAACAATACTCAAATTATCATGTCAGGAATGGGATTAGCACCTTATTAACTAGCCTAATAACCATCAAATTAAAAAGTAATTCTAGGGTGAGAAAATAAAAGGATAATTTAGTCAATTAACCATTAAACCCTAATATATATAGGATTTTTTTACCAACCCCTTCCCGTCTGCCCACTTCCCCCACTCTCTCTCTAAAAGAATAGAACCCCATCTTCTCTTCTTCTTCTCTCTCTCAAGAAACTCCTATCTCCGCCGATTGACCTTACTATTCGACTACGCCTGCGTCGACCTCAGCCGTGTCGGCCTCGTCCGCAACCGCGCCTCTGCAGCTGCCTAGCCCCGCAACCGCCTTGTCATCACCATGCGCTGCTCTCAACTTGTCGGCCTCACCTCTGTCGCCGCTTCGATAAAAACCACAACACTTGCGGCTGGGGAGGAGGCGAGTCGTCAAATGATGGCGGAAGAGGAAATAAAGCCAGATTTGGGGAACGACATTTGTTCGATAGAGATAAACAAGCCTGCGCCGCCTTTACTTCCGCTGGCTTCCACCGCTGCCTTCACCGTCAATAGCTCACGGATCTACATTTTGATTAAGATTGATTAAGATTGATTCGGCAACAATATTTTTGTTAAAGTATTAGTAGTGTTTTGTATATTAGTATCAATATTTGTTCTTTGCAGTAGGTTTTACATTTACATTAGTGTTCTATCTAAAAATCATTAGGTTCTGTTAATTTAAAAATACTACTAATAACAAAATCACTACCGACTATCATAAAATCACTACAATACAACATCTTATTTAAATCACTCCTAATTTAACCAGTAGTGGTTTTCTAGTAGTATTTTCACGTTTTGTGAAGGATAAGATAGATGATTAAAATTCAATTTGTTTAATAAATTCAATTTTTCAAAAATACCAAACATGCCCTTTATTGCTTCTCACGGTTTAAATCAACTTAAAATCAATTAACAGTGACAAAAGTGGTTATGATGGTGCTAACTCTTATAAAGAGTTAGCACCTCTAACTCCTCACATCATGTCATCAAACGTGTTTAATATGTTACCTCTGATTTGTGGTCTTTTTACTTCGTCGATATATCGGTATATCAATTAATCATAATTTCAAATGATTAATTATAGTAAAAATAACTAGGTCATTAACAACAACAAAAAAAACTAGTGATATTATGCAATATACCCATATTCACAATAAGTCCATAATACATCTATTTAACAATACGTCAAATTCTAAACAATTTCTTTATTTTTACTAAAGATAACAAAAATCTCGATCTTTGTTATTGGGTTTGGAATCTACCCACCCAAAATAGGCTTTGCTCTTTTTTTCTGTCATTAGATCACTATGAAAATAGTATAATACAAAAAACTGTAGGCTTACAACATAACATACTTACTTCAAAAACAAACAACAAAGTCGAACCTCGTAAATATTTGACGCGACAAGTACAGATCACAACCTGCCACCAAATGAGCCGCTCTAACACCAAATTGATCAACAAACCAAGGTCGCTTCTTGGCACTAAACCCAGAGAAATGCAAATCTCACCAAGGATGACACCAGCTAGAGCATCCCAACCCATGCATTAAACAAATAGAACTTTGGCATAATTCATAAAAAAGAACTTTTCTACTATCCATGAACACGCACACACCATAATTTGTGATGACGGAGCGAGATCAAACCTGGGGCCACCTGCTGCAATTTTTTGCGCCAGCCAGACATCTCCGGGAATACTACATGTCAAACCGAATACCTCACACATCCCGAAACGGCCTACCCCGCGACGGTACCGCTAAGTCATCTTACCACAAATAGAAACGTTCCACTAACCACACAGATGACCTCCATGAGACCAAACTCTCTAACACAAATGCATCACAAAACCCCTCATATCGTAGCGTTGGACCCTCCCAAAGATTCATTTGATGATTCGTTAATTCCCAACGCAGCGGTGCCATAACCTTGCAATAAATGTAAGTAAAGTGTTGTTGGTTTGTCTTTGAGGAGGAGCACCTCCTCCACTTCTTAAACTTGATGAGCACCGTTGTTCTGCCGCTTACGACACTTGATGCCCCCACTATACACCTGCAAAAGAAGATGTCACCTTGTCTAGAACAGTCTGTGAGATATCCAATTTTTGATTCCTCAACTGCACCCTCGATGGGATTAGATAGCCGCCTACCTAGATGTTAAGTTACAATCCAAGTACCACATCAGTAATACAAGGGAAGGAACCCTTGTATATTAGTGTCCACCAAGCTCATTAGTACGATGCCTTTTGGGGAGGACAACCAAAAGTAAAACCGTGCGGGCTTGGCCCAAAGCGGACAATATCATACTAATTGGGCTGCCCAGTTTGACAAGTGGTATCAGAGTCTGGTTTGGTGCGGGGCGATGGACGTCAGTTTGGTGGGACCCTCATTCGGTGGATCTAAGAATTTGAAATCTGCGTCTGCTTTAGTGGATCCATGAGAGATCCACGTTTGGACTACATCTGATTTGGCGGATCGAGGGAGATCCGCGTCTGTCTGGTGGATCTAAGAGAGATGCACGTCTGTTTGGCGGATCAAAGAGAGTTCCGCATTTGGGAAAATCCTTGTACCGAGAAGCCCATCGATACAAGGTGTCTGGTGGATCAAGATAATCTACGAGGAGAGGACGCAAAGTTCCTGGTCCTTGGCTTGAGGGGAGGATTGTTATGGGACAATCCAAGTACCACATCGGAAATACAAGGGAAGGGACCCTTGTATATAAGTGTCCACCAACCTCATTAGTACGAGGCCTTTTGGGGAGGACACCCAAGAGTAAAATAGTGCGGGCTTGGCCCAAAGCGGGCAATATTATACTAATTGAGCACCCAAGTTTGACACTAGAATTGAATAACATAACTATCGAGGAATTGATGACACGAGATAACAAAAGTGAGATGGATGAAATGACCAAGGGAACTCCTGCCATTTCTTGAAGTTACTTGACTTTTTTGACCTGCTATAGCAGGTTTTATAGGTCACATTACGTAAAACTAATGTTTATTACGTAACAATTACGTAATACTTGTTAGTCTTACGTAACAGTTAAACTAGAAGCATTATGGAAGGTTTGCGTAACGACTTATCATTTTTCGTTACATCTATTACATAAAATACACGCTCATTACGTAAAGGTTACGTAACGAAGCATCCATTACGTAAGGCTTCCGTAATGCCACTTTACAACTGTTTCGTAAAGTATGCATCTATTATGTAAAGTTTACGTAACGATAGTTATTTCTTACGCAACATTTAAGTTAGAAGCGTTACGTAAGTCTTCCATAATGATTTAACATATTACGTACCGAAAGGTTAATATTCATTACGTAAAATGAGTGTCTATTACGTAAGGTTTTCATAATGACATTTTTCAACTATTAAGTAAGATAAACACACATTACATAACCATTACGTAATGCCTATTGTATTTTATGTAATGTAACTTGTGAACCCTGTTATAGTAGGTAAAAAACATCAAGTTACAATAACTTCAAGGTATTGTAGGAATTTCTAAAGACAAAACAGAGAGTTTGTGACCTGTTTAGATCCACCGCCATGCCCAGCATACCAATAGCAGCCCTCTACATCATTGTTCGAGATAGAGGACATGGGGAGAAAAAACAATGCCCTAGTAACGAATATGAACTCGCACCGGACCAAAACGAAGAAACGATTTTTCAAATACCAAGTGCAAAACTAGATAAGAATCAGAGACTGAAAAATGCAAAGGTAAGCCCAAAACGTCAGAAGCATGCAAATCGATTTGAGTAGCAGTTGAGAGTATGAACAAGAGCATCCACCCCAAAAACCTGAAGAAAAAGGTGAGAAGGAATTAGTTTATATAGCGAGTCGCGAGAGATGAAACATAAACGTAGGGGATAGCCACGTTCACTTACAATCTATAATCGTAAATGAGATCTTGATTCCAAAGATTCATGCATCGAAGAACCGGGGGGGGGGGGACTAGAATGTGCGAGATACCTGTAAGAGAGTGTTACAAGATTCATAATGAAACTTCTCCCGAAAATTTAAGTTATTGGAACCAACTGGTTTATTATATGGTATCAGAGCTATTTTTTTCAAAATTTCAAACTCGTGAGTTAATTTTCATCTGGAAGTTAAAAAGAGTGTGCTAATCGCGCGGCTTGGGAGAGCGGTACGAGAACACCACATAGGCTTTATTCTTTGCTGAGCCCGGATACCCATGTTCAGCTAATGCACTTGACCCAACTCCAGTAAGCCCACTACAGATTAGGCCCACAAACCCGACCCCACCGTCGAACCAAAATTTCAAAAATTCCTTATTCGGGTCCCACGCGTTATATTTTATTCATCGTCTCTCTTAAATTTCAGAGGTTTGATTTTATTTTCATCAACGTTCAAATTCCCGCCTGTCTCTACCTCTCTCATTTTGTTTTTTTTCTCTCGCCATCTTTTGCCTTTTGAGTTTTGACCATAACCATTCTCATCCCTCCAAATCTAGCAAGCACTGTAGGTGTATCCAGAAGCTATTCTCAACGGGCAAAAGCAGACGCCATTGCACTAACCTCGCTCCGATCTCTTCATCTTGCTCAGCTAAGCGGCCGAGGTGTTTGTCGGTTTCATGCGAATCAAAACCCTAGCGGGTTGACTTCACCGCTCAGCCAAGCATGAACCGTTTCCACATCTACGAAGCTATTGGTCGCGGCAAGTCCTCGGTAAGTCCCGAAGCTCGTTTGCAAGCTCTTAGTACTTGGTGAACTGTGCTGGTCTCTGGTTCTAGTTCCTGATTGCCTTTCTTTCGGTCGTTGTTTTGCTCTCCAGACTGTGTATAAAGGGAGGAAGAAGAAGACGATCGAGTACTACGCAATTAAGAGCGTCGATAAATCGCAGAAGAGGAAGGTTCTTCACGAAGTAAGGCTTGAACGATTCCTCTGATTCAGTTCGCGTTTCGATCTGTGTTTTTTTTTTTATAAACATTCCGGCTTGTTACTTCAGTTCTTTATTTACTTTCCTTTCTCTACAAATCGAGACTGCCGGCGAGGGTTGGTTGGTTAACTAGAGTTCAATCACGAATTTGATACGTTTCGCTCTCAACTTTGGACTCTTGAAATTTGATTCATCGATCTGCCGATTGAATTTGCTACTGCGGTGTCTTTCTCCACTTGTACTTCGGTTTCTAATTTCGATCTGTACTTTTCGGTGAAATGAAAGCCGAAAGAAGCGTTTTTATTTTCAATCGCCGGAGAGAGATGATTTTCGTGGACTGATGGTGGCAGGTTTGATTGGTTGCAGGTTAAGATTCTTCACTCTTTGGACCACTCAAACGTGCTAAAGTTTGACTCCTGGTAAGCATGCATTTGAGGAGACTGACATTTTCATCAAAATTTAGAGTCGACGTCTTGCTATTCACTTGAATAGTAGCCTAACACTCCTGAATTTGGAATAGGTATGAGACTTCCGCTCATTTGTGGTTAGTTTTGGAGTATTGCGTTGGAGGAGATCTCAGGGCATTATTACAACAGGTATGGTGATGGCTTACTGTCAACATAACTGTGCTTTCTGTAGCAAACAATGTTTAGTATTTCAGCTGGAAAACATTCCAGAATGTTAATATTATGTGCTGAAATTGGAGCATATGGATTGCAGGATAGTCAGCTACCGGAAGACTCAGTTCAGGATTTTGCATATGATTTGGTCATAGCCTTGCAGTAAGATCTGCTCGACTTGTTTGCAATTCGAGTAATATGTATCGTTCTATTTGTGGGGACTTCATGCAAGCTATTTAAATGGTGCCAGGTATTTACACTCAAAGGGTGTTATCTATTGTGATCTAAAACCTTCAAACATCCTCTTAGATGAAAATGGACGCGTGAAGGTGATAATGGATTTTGCCTTTCTTCCTTGCTGAGTTATTGTCACTGCTTTTGACATGCACCTGACTTACACTATAATGGTTGTAATGCAGCTCTGCGACTTTGGATTGGCAAAGAAGTTAAGTGATATATCTAAAACACACTCTTCGGTATGTGATTGTGGTTGATGCAGTGGCTTTTCAACTTTGTTTTGCTTAGATGTTCAGATTCTAACCTTCCTTTTCTGTACATGTATAGTCAACAGAAGCGAAATGTGGAACGCCCTGTTACATGGCTCCTGAGCTATTCGAGGATGCAGGAGTCCATTCCTATGCTTCTGATTTCTGGGCCCTTGGTTGTGTGCTATATGAGTGCTATGCAGGGAGACCTCCTTTTGTGGGAAGAGAGTTCACCCAGCTAGTGAAGTCCATTGTCTCAGATCCAACTCCACCACTTCCTGGCAATCCAAGTAGGCCCTTTGCGAACTTGGTTAACTCTCTCTTGGTCAAGGATCCTGCTGAAAGAATTCAGTGGTGTGAGCTCTGTGGGCATGCTTTTTGGAAAGGCAAAATTCCTCTGGTGTCATTACCACCACAACCTGCTTTTGATAGCATGATTGCGTTTTATGCTAGGCCATGCCTGTCAGAACATAATGGAGACAGAGCTCTTCAAAACAAAACCCCCATTAAAGGTCGTGAAAGAGATGCAAGAGTGACTCCAAGAAAAGACGAGAATTCACAGTCGGGATTAAGAGGTGTTGAGACCCCAGTCAAGGGAACACCTGGCAGCAAAAGACCTCAAGCAAAGGCCTCCGGTAGAGCAGTTGACGAGAAGCAGAAAGATAATTCTTCTGCTAATAGACGCATTAATCTGTTACGGTTATCAAGAGTAGCAAAGACAAATTTGCAGAGGGAGAATGAGAAGGAAAACTACAGGAGGCCCTTGGCTAATGCCTCTGAGAATGATTCAGAGATTAAGATGGAGAACACGGATATGGAGCTTGATTTCAATGAGAACACAGAAGATGACACACAAGATGAACCCGAAGGGAGTGACAATTCAACTGGTGCACCTGGAAGGGTTGATAACCATGTTCAGCCAATGGACATTTCTCCGGTAACCAACACCCCTACTTTAGACGAGCCAGGAACAAATGATTTAGAATCACCATCAGAGCCTGTTGACGTGGGGGGTGATACTCCAGTCAGTGCCAGTCCTCAGCCTAAACACCAGAGAATTAAAGAAGGGTTGGGATTAGCACCTGAGTTCGATTCCTCAAAGTCTTCTAACAACATCTCAGATGTTCTTTGGCATCCATCTGATCTTTCAGTGAGACCTGTGATGCCCAGCAGAAAAGGGGATAAGACATCTGAGGCACCTCCTTCTCTACCTTTTGAGCCTTTGCAACCAACTGAATTGTTGAAGATGACCAAGGAGCAGCTTGATTCAGTCAATGCAAAAATTGTATCAATATTTAATGGCAACACCAGTGTTGGGGAGAAGCAGAATGCAATCAGATACCTTGAGATGTTGAGCAGCAATGCTGAGATAGCTAACATCTTCACTAATGGAGCAGTGATGCTCATACTCGTCAAAATGCTTCGCTTGTCCAAGGCTTCAGCATTACGGGTGCAACTTGCATCATTAATTGGCTTGTTGATACGCCATGCTACGTTTATTGAAGATGATCTGGCTAATTCTGGTATATTAAGTTCCCTTACAGACGGCCTAAGGGACAGGCAGGAAAAAGTAAGGAGATTCTGTATGGCTGCTTTAGGGGAGTTACTGTTTTACATAGCCACCCAGAATGATCAATCTAGGGACAACAATCCACCTGAATCTCTAGCAAAAGACACCAGTAAATCAGTTCCTGGCTGGCAGGTTAGCTTCACATCTCTCCGATTTATAAATTCATTTTTATTGACTTACGCTGTGATAAGTACATTTCTCAACAGTTCATTAGTTGAATTGTCCAGTCCTGATATACATAGTTCATTCTGCTAAGTATATGTCTTCGTGTCTCTCTATTGAAAAGTCATTTTCATTGGCTTACACTGTCTGAATTATATTTCTTAACAGTTCATTTAGTGGATAGTCTGGAATTATACATAGTTCTGTAGTGTTTTACAGTTGAAACTCTTTCCTAAAATGAGCTCTTTAAATTGTCACCTGGGAGAAACAGTTGTCCGTCGAGTTCTTCTCTTATTAGCTTTGTCCTTCTCTGATCAAAACTATTGTCGATGGGGCAGGTTCCGAACTCACTCATCTCAATGGTATCCTCAGTCCTGCGTAAAGGAGAGGATGATATAACTCAGCTTTATGCCCTGAGAACAATAGAAAATGTATGCAGTCAAGGGAGTCATTGGGCTGCACGATTTACCAGCCAAGACGTGATCAGTAACCTATGCTACATATACCGTGCACCAGGAAAAATGGAGAGCATGAGGATGACTGCCGGTTCATGTCTGGCTAGACTCGCCCGGTTCAATCCTTCTAGCATCCAGTCAGTCATGGAGAAACTATCCTTCAAGGAGGCAGCAGCTTCAATTATCAAAGGCAATGCTCGTGAGCAGCAGATAAGTCTGAACCTCCTAAACATGGCCATGCTCGGAAGTCATTTGTTCACAAACATTGGAAGACATCTTCTGTCTCTCGCTGAAGATAAGAATCTCGTGCCCTCTCTCATTTCTCTTGCCGAACAGGGTAGTGAAATCTTGAAAGGGAAGACACTTGTTCTCATTGCACTTCTCTGCAAGAATGGCAGGAGATGGCTGTCACACTTCTTCTGCAACGAGAGGTTACTGTCTTCTGTGGACAGGCTAGCAAAAGAGAAAGATGGCTTCCTCCAGCAATGCCTTGATGCATTTTTGCTTGTTTTGTCATCAATTGTACCTAGTTTGTTGGATACCATTACCGGAGATATCCAGCAAATGATAGGAGGAAGGCGGCATGGACAGATAACTGGCACTCCAAGCCGGGTTGCTTCTAAGACCAGTGTACACTTCTTCCCTTTCGTCCTTCGCCTTCTTGGAAGCTTGTCGTTGAAGCTTAGGGTGGTGAATAGCCATGTGCTGCAACAGTTGGCCATCCTCTTAAAACTCATGGAGACACCATTTCAGGTAAGATTCTGATACTTAACTACTTCTGATGTTTTTTTCTCTTGTCAAAAGATTGCTTGCATTACCAAATCTGCAGAGGGTTCTACACTGGTCACTAGACTGTCAACAACCTTAAACCACCAAACTTCTGATGTGTACCCAGCTGATTTTTATGTATCCGATTCATGTGGAGTATACTTTCTCTTTACCTTCAGGGTCGTTTGTATGTGGAAATCAGTGGAGCATGTCTAACATTTTATGGATTGATATAGTAATGGATTATGAAAATTCCATCCTTTGCATTGCATTAATGTGGAATGCGGAGTTTTCAGAGAATCTCACAATCTCTCCTCATTGCAAGAGATTTGACATCTGAAAATCAGAATTAACTGGAAGCTAGAGATGTGTCGTCAATTCCATCATATGTTACCCAATTTTTTGCATGTCAGTCAAGGATTGTTGAGATAAGAAGAACTCTCTTTTGCATTTACTTCTGTTCTCCTCATGCTAGTGTAACCTGTTTGACGCAAAATAAGGCCGTGTGTGGCTAACTATTCTGTTATATTCCGTTTATTTCAGGGAAGAGATGACTTCCAAATCACGCTTCTTCAGGTTCTTGAATCCATTGTGGAGGAATCTCCCCTTATCTTAGCAAACCCTCAAATCTTCATCGACGCGATCCTCCCCAGCCTGGCTACTCTCTACAAGGGCAACAGAGACGGCCACGCCAGATTCCTCTGCCTGAAAATCCTCTTCCACGTAATGGTCATCATCTTAAACGAACCATCCCAAGGCGACCAACTCTCCAAAGCTCTGCACACCATAGCCAATGTCCATTTCCTACCACTCTACCCCACTCTCGTCGAAGACGAAGACCCAATCCCGATCTTCTCACAGAAGCTCCTCGTCATGCTCATCGACTTCAACTTCATCAAGATCTCCGACATCCTACACGTCAAAACAGTCTCCCAATGCTTCGAGTTCCTGCTCGGAGACCTCTCCACCGCAAACGTCAGCAACGTCAAGCTCTGTCTAGCCCTGGCATCCGCCCCCGAAATGGAATCCAAGCTGCTCTCCCAGCTGAAAGTAGTCCGAAGAATCGGCAATCTCCTGGAGTTCGTCCATGCCAAAGACATGGAAGATTTCCTCGAGCCAACTCTCGGCCTCTGCAGAGCCTTCCTCCTCCGATCACTCACCGCCGAAAAGGGGTCCGCGTTCAGAACCCAACCGTCGCTGCTAACCGCCGGTGGGTTTTCTGCGGGCGGATGCGTGGACGGAATACGAGACGTGATGGACTTCGGCAGCAACGTCGGTCTGTGGTTGGAACTCAGTTCCGGCTCGTCGACGGAGCCAAACGTCGCCGAGTTAGCTTCCGAGTGTGTTGTCTTGTTGCTGAAGGCGGCTCCAAGGGAAGCCACCACTGGGTTTCTAACCAACCTGCCGAAGGTCAGCACCATCCTCGAGTCATGGCGCAGAGGGGTTCCACGCCTGATTTTGCTCCGGACTCTGCATGCGCTTTGCTATTCTTGCCGGCAGTACTTGTCTCATGCAATGATACTGTCGATATCAATCGCCGAGGTCTCGAGGGTACAAGGGATAGTTACAGAGATCAAGAGTTCCGCCGGCGGTGATCTATCCGACGCCGCTTCCCTGGTTGGGTTAGAGTTGCAGCGGCTGCCTCGCCACCTTTGATGTACTGAAGGTCTAATTTTTTTACCGTTCTACTACTTCATAATATGATCTTCTTCTTTTATTGAACTTGTTTCTGTTTCATTTTTCTTCCAGAATCCAGATACAGTATTATTGGCGAAGGGTTCAATCATTGGTGTATTATATCTGCAGATCCAGGTTAGTTCCGACTGTTGGGAAATAGTGACGCTTTGGCCTCTTTCTGTATGATAATTGTTTTCCCCTGTATCAACTCGGAAAGCAATGCAATTTATTTATTACCTTTTTTGCTTAAAAAGACTTTGCTTTTTGCAGTGCTTTATATCTTTTCTTGCTTTATACAGTCTTTGTTTGAGTTCTTTTGTCTTTTGGAATTGATTCGACTTAGTAGTACCTCCATTAATGCATACATAACATCTACATTTACTGGAGTCCCTCTTTTGAGATCTCTCGTGAACTAATATTCATTTCCCCACAGCATTGAATCACTTTTGAGGTAGAAAGCCTTTTGCTTATATGCTGAGGGGTTGACTTCCACATAGGGCTGGGAAAATGAAAATTATGTCTGAACTATTTCAGATTTATGGTCTCGAGTCGGTTGTATTTTACCGGTTTCAGTCAAAACAAAACAAAAAATTGATTAGAAATCGAACCTTGTTCTAACCGAAGCTATGACAAAGGGTGTAGGGGGTTTCGGTTTTCAGTCTGTTCTAACCGAAAACCGATAAGCCCCTTACCAGACTCGGTTTCGATTTTGGGGAAACCGTCTATATTGATTCTTCAGTTTTTAATGGTTTCGGTTCAGTTAACCGATCTGAACACCCCTACTTCCACAGCTCCACTGACTTCACTAACTAGTAAGATAGGCTAAAGCCATAGATCTATGCTTTCTTGCTTGATTATCTTGTTCCAGGTGCTCATAAAACAAGTGCCCTTCTGCTACAAGGTACCCATTACCAGATCCTTACAACTCTTTAGTAACTTCTGCATTTCTATCTTTTTAGGAGCTTTGAAGTACAGCACACTACTTAAACCATCCTAGGATCAAGGAATCTTAGCTTCAAACAAATACATCGAAACAAAACCCAGTCCAATCTTTGTCTGCTTCCTCAACATGCCAACCAACCTTGCATTTCTTCCATCATTGCCCACTCATCACATGCATTTGAAGAAGAAAATAAAAAAAGCCGGCTCCTTCCCACTGTCCCCCAACTCTGCCTTACTCCTTTTTAAAGTGAGAGTTGCTTTCCATCATTACACCTCCAAAAAACCCACCAAAAAAAATGGCGTCTTCTTCTTCCTTTTCGTTCCTCTCACTACTCATGATTTCAGCAACCATCTTCTTCTTCCCTTCTCCCACCACTTCATCTCCTCAACCATCCACCATCATCCCAGCTTCTCCATCTTTTCCAGAAGACTCCCCTCCTCTCTCCCCTTTTGAGGAGCTCTCCCCTGAGATTGCTCCGTTACTGCCATCCCCCGGCGGCGAACTGCCGTCGCCGTCGGTGGCTTCCATCCCCACCATTCCTTCCAACCCGAGCACTCCTAACCCGGACGAGTACGCCGCCGCGCAAGTTCCCGCCGCCGCTTTCGGCCCTTCTTCTTTCCCACCATTCGGCTCTCTCCCTGTTTCCTCTGCATTTTCCAAGGAGTCCCCATTAGCAGTCTCCCTACTGTGCTCTGCAATTTTGTCTGTACAGCTGCTACTAAAAACATGGAGCTCTTGATTCTTGAGTTTTCCATCTGTTTCGTGGTGGTTCAGTCACAAGTGTGTTTTACTGTAAGTAAAAGTTCATCGGTAGATGCTCTTAACATTCTTCAGTGCTGTCGTATTTTCTTTAATGGTATCGTCGTTTAGCCGATGCGCCAGGCCAGGTTGTTTTGTTCGTATTAGGTGAAGAAACATCCCCACATGTGTGAGGCGGAAACCAACAAGATCTTGAATTTAGGTGTTGGGGGAAACATTTGGGTTGGAAACATGCTTGCTATTTTCTTCTGACTTGTCGGAGTGATGTGGTAATAAAAAATAGTGTCGTTTAGGTAAGTCTTGGATCTGGTTTTTTTTCTTCTTCCATGAACTAATGTCATGATTAGGACCCGTGTCTGAAGCTTTTATATGGTTCAAGAGTTTAGTAATTACCTCGAGAGATGTATAGGAATTGCAATTTTTACTTACTACTTAGAATTGCCAGGCATGAATTGAATGTTTTCTCGACCAAGTAGATTGTGTTTTCGGGTGCCTAATCAATGGGATAACCTCGATTACCTTTACTATACGATGCATTAAAAGGGTTAATTCTAAAATGACCAATTGCTTACTTTAAAGACGAGTAAGACAAGCTAGACATGTCTCTCGATCACGGGGTGCAGATTATATGTGTCATGTCTCATTTGTTTCTTCAACCTCTGAATTCTGATGTTACCATCTTCAAACGCCAACTCAAGTATGTTTGAACATGTTCAGAGTTGTCCGTTGCACCCGTATCGTGCAAGATAACGACCGAACATGAATGTAAATTTGTGCCTAAACACACTAGGTAAGATGGACAACTAAATTAGTTGGTATATAATGTTCTAAGATGTCTTAATGAATGTAAATTTGTGCCTAAACACACTAGGTAAGATGGACAACTAAATTAGTTGGTATATAATGTTCTAAGATGTCTTAATGGTGGCTTCACTTATTAGAGGATTAATAGATTGGATTAGGGGTGAACAAACACACCCGTAAACCGATTCACCCGTCCAACCTGACACAATCCAACCGTATTTATCGCTAAAACGAAGGTTTTGGGTTGGGTGAGGGTTTTCTTTTGTACAACCCGCCTTTTTTGGGTTGGGTTTGGATTTTGGATTACACAACCCGTACAACCCGACCCAACCTGTGTTCCAACTATTGGTAGGAGTTCGTATCCAAAAAAAAATTTATGTCATATATAGCCATATTTATGAGAAAATTAAGATATTTTACCATATTTTTCTCTCATGGTCTCTCTAATCTAATGCATTCTTCGGCTTAAAGTTTAGACATAAATTTAATATAGCTATGATTCATGTAATCTTTTTTCTTGTGCACAATTTTAATAAAATACACATATTATGTATGCATTCGTTTATAAGCTTTTTAGCCTATTTCAACAAATATCGTGAAAAAAACTAGACATATGTTGAAGTAAATCACATTTTATTAAAATTCAAACAACATTTGTGAATTTTGATATCTTTCACCTCGGTTTATTTGTTTGAAATTTTAATTAGTTATAAAATATTTTAATGATGTAGAATAATTATATATTTTGTGTTGGGTTGAGTTTTTACTTAAACATATCGCCAACCCGATCCAACTCAATTAGAAACAAACCGTAGGGTTTATATTTTTTTGGGTGGGTTTGGGTTTAATATTTCCCAAACCGTAGTGCATGAGTCGGGTGATTAAAATGGTTAAACCCGGACCACCTGACCCATGTACACCCCTAGACTGGATAGCTGGGATATCGTGTTTTTCATGAACTCTCGATTTTCAAAGAATATCTTAGTTATCATGGACATAGTTGGCTTAAGTCGCATTGTGATTCTTGTTTGCGTGCTAATCAAGCTTGTCTCACCTTTTCAGTCTAGTTCTATTAAGAATCTTGGTTGTTTTGAGCTCATTCGTATGAATCTTTAGGGTGGTTACAAGATCCCCTCCATGCATGGATGGTTCACATTATTTTTTACAGTGGTTAACGATTATAGTTGCGCTACTTGGGCTTATCTTCTTAAGCACAAATTCGATGATGAAAATACATTCGTTTGTTTTGCGAGTTAGTTTGAAATAAATTCCAGACGCAGGAGCGTAGCATTCGATTAGATAATGACATTGAATTTCAAACACTTCTGCTTCGAGACTTCGAGCATGGCATTCTTCTCCAGACCTATTGTGTTAACACTATGGGGTTGTTGAAAACAAACATCGTCATTTATTATAGACAACCCGTGCCTTATGTTTTTATCTTGATTTGTCGGTTGGTTTCCGGGGGGGGGGGGGGGGGGGGCACCGTCGCCTACTTGATTAATCGGTTGGCCTCATCAGTCCTGGCAACTAGACTCCTTTCAAACTACTTCTTGGACGAGTTCCTTCGTATACTCCGCTTCTCATGTTTGGGTGCTTATATTGTATGCCATGGATATGAGTCATGGACTTGACAAATAACTAATCTCATACCTTTGCAACTTCATCCCCACACCCATGGTTTGAGGGTACCCGTGGGTAATATTGTCCCGTATATGCATTATTACTATACCTCTTTATTCAACATGCAAACCTTCAGTTACAAGTTATAACACTAAACAAACCTAATAAGTCATGAAAATCAACAATGATATCATCATTCCGAATACGAATTCAAAGCATCCAATCATAAAACATTCATTTAAAAAAGTACAATACTATCCAAGTCATTAATCTCTCCGATGCATTAACTAAGCAGTAAATAACTAACATAATTTTTTTAACGAGAGAGAAAGAAGTGAAATAGTAAAGGGTGAATGGAGGAAAAGTAAGTGTTTTGTTTGAGTGGCCACTCAATTACATTTCACATCTTATTTTTTGAACTGTTGTTCTTTTCATCGAGCGATTGAAATATAATCCCTAAATTTTAGCATCTGAAGAAATACCATTGACGGGATGAGTATGAGACGAGAAACCTAAAATCTTACGCCGCTCATCCGCATAATATTTTTTTTACAAGTTATTATATTATATAAACGTAAAGTTCAGTTACTGTTGCATAATAAATTACATTTTGATACCTCAAATTTAATTAAATCACAATTTAGTCACTAAAATGTACATTTTAAATTTTGATAACCCAAATTTAATTTTAATGTAAAATCATTCAACAATTATGTTTTGGTATCTAAATTATATGAGATTTTTGTACCTACAATTTTTTTAAATTTACATATTGGTCCAATGTTTAGATTACACTTAAATCCGTTCCACCAATCCTTTTGAATCAATCCACCATAACATAATTAGTTTATACAATACAAGATGTTGTCCTTTTGAATCAATCCACCATAACATATTTAGTTTGTACAATACAAGATTTTGTATCACTCAAGTGTAGGAGAAGATTCGACCATTTTATACTTGCTCATCACGTGAAATATTAAATAAATGATAAAAGAGAGACGACTCTAAAATATCGCAAGAGCGAATTTATAAACTCATTTATTACACTAGCTTATAACCCGGCCCTTTGGCTGGAATGCTCATATTTGATTATTTGTATTTTTATGTTACTTTTAAGTCTATTAACCCGTTTATTCTTATTGATAATCATTCGATCGAGATGATACATAAAGAAATAATATATAGGTCGAACATTCGGAGAAATATCACAATCATTTAAGAATATAAAATATAAAATAAAATCATTGACCCTATTTTCATAATGCTAATTAAGTCCCTGTTAAAATGCTATTGGTTATTTTTTTTTACAGTCAAGAAATATAGAGTATAAAAGCTCACTGAATTTCTCACACGACCCATAGATAGTTTGAAACTAAATTTTAAACCTCACAAACCTATATAAAGGGTTCAATGCTCTCCTTTTAGAAACAATATGTCACTAATCAAAAAGAAATGGAGAGTTGTTGATTCAAGTCATCTATATTAAAAACTCAACCAAGAAGGGACCATCACAACTTGAGAGCAAACAAAAAAATCAGGGTTATCTCCAATATACGAATAGACTCGATCAAAGTAATAAGGCGCAAAAATAGACACTCATTATCTATTAGTTCCAGTAGGTTGAATAAAGAAGCGACCTATTTCAAACAATCAATCAATGATTCCTCGTTTTAAGATAGAAATAGGTTGTGACAGTTGTAAAAACCATAAACCTAAAGATCCAATAGCCACCACTCTCCGTTGTACAACCCAATTTCTATCTCAAGAGGCATACATTCAACCAAAAATTCAATTTCTAATCCTCCTTCTACAACTCGAGTTATTGATGAACTCCATTCTATTCGCCATGGATTGATATCGTAGTTGAAATCTTCTACTCGCCTAGCTTAAAATCCCCAACAATAAAACCGTAGCGCCAAGAGATACCTGAAGATTGATTTTCAATGACAGTCTTGTACTGGGAAGTGAAAGGCGCAAACTATTGCACGAAGGATGAAATTTCGGAGGAAGTTAGAAAGAGAAAAGAACAAAGAAAAAAGATCTCAGAATTTAAATTTAAATTGAAAAATGCGAGGATACAATTCGTAGTTACATAATTAGTTTCTTCCATGTTAGCCAATTACCCATTTACCTTTAGCAAAAATTAAGGAGAGAGTGGGAATTTAAAATTGAGAAAATTATATGAAACTCTACTATGAAAATAGAAGTATCAAGCTCGATAAAAATACATACGGTAGACTTAGCGAGCTTGCTAATTATGATGAAAAAGTCCTCTGATTTTCAGAGATTAAATTTGTCTATGCTTTGTATCAAAAAGGATGCAATAAATTTGTTTAGTGTAAGTGGTTGTAATTGTTATCTTTGTTTGAAGAGACCCGGGTTCAAATCTTGATATTGCTATTTTTATATGAAATAAATAATAAATGTGTAAAGACAAAAATGACCTTCCTACTTTCACTCTCGTTGCAGGAAATTTGAAATGGAGAAAAGTACACAAAACTCTACCATATATTAATGGAGGATTTACGGGGTACTAAATAAACTTCTACTAACTGCATGTAATAAAATATGCGACATCTATAAGCAAGTGTCAATAAATCGCTACGTTGAAAAGGGTTGACTGTTTTATTGATAGCCTACTAAAAGAATTGGTCAAAACATTTCCATCATCTGCTTTCTTTTCGTTTCATTTTTCACTCGCCTTCCATAATCATTTCTTTATTTCTTTCTTTGTCTTCTTCGTCTAACCCTAATTAGTATACAATTTTTATATATTTTAATCACAAATATGAACGATTCCATACACGACTCACCAACAATCTAAAGAATTAATAATTGAACCATGAATCACTAACTTTTTCAACTCAGTGTCGAGTCCAATTAAAAATAAATAAATATGGTTATTACTTATTATAAATTCGTAATTTTCCACTATTCGATTTGAAAGCGTGAAATTTTAAGCGAGTTCCTATTTGTATTTCTTTTGTTTCTCTCTAGAGTTTTTCTTTTTTACCTGGCCTAGAATTTTCAACAATTATATATACATGGAATGTTTCGTTAGGTATCTACACATATCAAATAAATAGTTTCCATTTTTTTATAAAAAGATAAATAATTATCATCTTAAATACATCATCATAAAAGGAATTAAGCCTAAAAAATACAGTTCGATACCTTAACTTAATAGATCTTTAGATTTATAACCTAATTTTTTGGCATATAAGTCCTCAAAATATTGATGGCACATTATATTTTAGTACCTAAATTTTTTGTGTATTACATTTTGGTACCTAAACTTTTGAAGTTCTACAAATATGTCTAATTTTTGTATGTGTAATTAAAACACCCTCGAATAAATGGGTATCCATCCCCAACTCATACACATTTAGATTATGGATGTAAATATTCATACCTTACCCAAACCCATCTACAAACTTTCAACCCGTATATACTTACCCATGCTCTACACATAATCAATGAGTCTACTTGGGTTTTAGTAAATATCATTTACTAGCCAAATTTTTTTTAAAAAAAATGGATGTTGACCCCATATATTTATTTTCAGTCAATATTATTAGCAAAACTGCTAACAAAAAATTATTTTTAAGCTAATAATACTAACAAAACACCATATAACGGACCACATAATACATGTCCATACTCCATTTCTACCCGCGACAAGGCGCTGTATCGCCACCTAGTTTTACTGATAATTAGTCCCCGCGTTGAGTTGGTCGAATACCAGTTGTGTTTGGTTTGACTGTCATGCATAAGCTATATAGGTGTTAGTACGGTAACCAATTCAGACCCGAAAAGAATCCACAATGCTGGGCAAACATCTGTTGTCGAATCAAATCGGCGAACAAACTTAACCTTTAAAAACCAGTGAGTAAAGGAAGAAAAAAAGAGAGCCAATGAGCTGTCCAACGAAATCCAGCCATTAAGAACAAACAAGAACTGTCACAGTATCATAATTTAAGTTCAGGCGCACGACGGCCAAACTAGCCAACCGAAACGTTTCAGAAACTGCATCAAACTAAAAAGATTCTTCTTAGAAACTAGAAAAAAAACCTCCAACACCATAACTCAGTTGATGAAATAACTTAAGCAAAAAGCTTCATTCACTTCTCGACGAGCTTCTCGATCATATCAGCAGCCTCTTGGACTGTGGTAATGCTCTGTGCACTCTCTTCCTCCACGGTGATGTCAAACTCCTCCTCGAGCCCCATCACGATCTCAACCTGCATTGCCGGGAAAAAAAAAACGCAATTCATCGCCAGAATTCGGTGAAACCATAGCATGGGCGCCAAGCAACGGAGATACAAGTAGCTGCAACACAAAGTTCCATTCTTTTTCTGCCATCATTCGAAATCAATTGCACCCCACAGTTTTGCTTGTTCCCTCAGTTGGGTTATAAATTCAACACAAGACTGTAGGATATATATGGATATGGCTATGGCTACGGCCTACGGACCGATCTAAAAAAACCCCAAACGAATCATGAATCAACACATGAACGAAAAAAACAGCATCACAGCCAACTACATTGTGAGAGATTAAGTCATTGGCTAGAACTTACAGTATCAAGGGAATCAGCTCCAAGAGCAGCAAACTTAGACTCTCCATTGACAGCTGCATCTGCGGGCAGAGCAAGCTGCTTCTTCACGATAGCAACCACTTTGTCTACGGTCTCTTGCTTGGCCTGCAACAATTGTCAATGACATGGCTCCATTAATCAGATGCTATACAGAAAACACATAGCCAGAAATCCCACAAATTCCCAATTTCTAACCCAGCTTCTCAAATCCATCATGCACCAATAACTTCAGCAGAATCCCAGAAACAGAAATTGACATATATCAACATTAAATTAGACGATCCAACAAACCAATCAACAGATTTTCCATAAGCTACATTAGATCCAAAGACCCTACATTCCCATATCACAAAATCTTCAGGGGGTAATGGGGAGAGTAAGAAATCGTACCGCGCAGCAGACTTGAAGCCCGCGTTGCAATCTAAGAGAAGGAATCATCGATCTCCCACTGACGGGAAAGGAGACGGAATTCATCCCAGATATCCTCTGCACGAAAAACAAACCCAAGAAATTAATCCCAAATAGATGCCGATCTCAATCGAATCTACAAAGGAATCCCGCCGAAATCAGAGAAATCCACGGAGACCCTTCAAGGGTTTTGGGGTAAAGCTCAGATCTGGAAGAGAGAAAAAACGAATTACCCGCTGGCTCTGGTTAACAGAGGTGGAGAGGGACGGCATGGAGACGGAAGCTCTTGTGATGGACGCCATTGTTGATTAAGTTCCTCTTTCTTCGGTTGGCAGAGGAAGATCAGAAGCACAGAAGAGATGCGAAGAAGGAGAATGGTGGAGGTGGATGGAAGGGGAAGTGCGATGAATGAATGAAAGAAGGGTTTATAAAGGAAGGGGCTTTTGGTTTTGTACAGTTGGGTGCTTTCTTGTGGTTATCGCTGATGGCTGGCCTCGTTGGCTTCGCTCCTTCTCTTTTGTTGTTGTTTGTTGGACTGGTTGTTGTCCTGTGGTGGACTTTGTTTATATCGAAATCTTAGGTTCTGTTTGTCTACTGGGTTAACTCCGTCAATTGCTAGGTTATAGAGGTAATCAGGAAAGTGATTAGGGATTAAATTACACAAACGGTCGTCGAAGTTTTGGGCCACTAAGAAATTAGTTATTAACTCTAATTTATTGTCTAAATATTTATTTCCTCTCATGTGTTAAATAGATATGTAAATTCGAGTACTAATCTCTAATAGAGTTTAGATTTGTGTTATGGGTAGTTTGGTTTGAAAAGTTATGTTCATGTCTGCTTATCAATAGAGTATTTACGAATTTTTTTTCGTTATTAGTGTGACCGAATCGATAAGACAATATAATAAAAATTTAGATAAAATGTTATAGTATTTGCTATGTGAGTAGTATTTAAAAATTCAATACCCAACTTGTTGATGCCTCTGTAGTTGTATCTAGGTTGCAAATAAATAGACCTAAAGATTTGAATCTAGAATGTAGTGAATTACAACTAAATGAGAATGTAGCTAACTTGACCTAAAGGTTGCAAATATATTGACCTAAAGGTTTGAATCTAGAATGTAGCTAACTTGCAAATTCATTCCCTCTCAAGAGATAAAATTAAATGAGAACAACTCTAAACAATAATGTTTTGTTGTGACGGTGTATATGGGCAACCTAAACGACGACCACTCTAACTCTAATCCTATATCTAGGTTTGCCACCATCTAAAAACAATTTCGGAACACCCCGCTACCAATCACATTTGACTTTCATATGAAACCAATATGTTTCCTGGTATGTCAGCTTATCGCATGTCCATCGAGTTTTTGCTATCTAGACCATGAATTAACTAGAGTTTGGACATGATATTATACCTAATCTCTCATGAGTGAACTGCAGTTTCTAATTCTCTAAACCGAACTATAAGAATCGTTTAATCTAAAAATAATAACCAATTATTCCAGGAAGAACATATAGCATAATACATATATTATACGCAAGACATATGTGAGTACATCAATACATGCATTCCAACCAAATGGTATTTTCATTTATGAACTTTTATGGGGTAAATTGCAAAGTTGGTCACTGACAGTGTTAAAAGATTCACGTTTGGTCACTAGAAGTATTTTATTTCATTTATGGTCACTGAAAGTGGTTAAACGTTTCATGTTTAGTCATTCTCCGTTAGTCACCGTTAACATCGTTAATATTTAGCTGATGTGGCTAACATGAACGTTGACTCACCCAATTTTAACCCGCCACGTCATAAAACCAATGAATCAGACTTCCTAACCAAACCAACCTATTAAAGCAGTTCAGTGTAACAATACCCAGTTAAATATCCAACCTAACCAGGCTTTTCGAGTTAAACCTCGCCGACAATTCCCTCACCTGCCAAATCCCTAGTTTGCTCGAAAGCTTCCACTCGCTCCACACCATGATCCTTGCCTGGAACAATCTCACCGGAGTGGTACCAAATCATTCAAGAATCTCATGGAGATTTTCAATTTGGATTTTCCCAATTTGACAACATCCAAGCCCAAAACCCATGTTCTTCTTATTTCCCCTTGCTGTGTTCCCTGTGAGCTCCAAAACCTAGCCAACAAAAAATTCCAACCAACATCAAGAACAAATCCTTAATTTACCTAATGTGATTACGGGAAGAGGGGGAAAAAAGGTATTCAGCGGTAACGAACCTCAGGGGCGAGACACTCAAGGACGAAGGAGAGGTAGAAGAATGGTCAGGCGCCGATTCGATCGACTTACTTGTTGTGATTTCATCTGGCAAGTCAAAGTCTGGTCCTCTGCCCCCGTCGCCATCGGCGACAACTATGTTGCCTCCAGCGCCACCTTGCACACTTCCCAGCTGCGATATGGCCGTAGCATCTATCGACCCCTCCGTCGTCCTCGGGTGACTGCTTAGAAAGCAGAATCCGTAGGTGAAGAGAGTTGCGTAAAGCTTATGGGCTTCAACTATGGCGATGGCCAGAGAAGGAGAACTAAATAGCGAGAGGAGGAGGATTGAAGGTTGGACTTTATGGGGGATTTGAGGATTGAGGGAGTTTTGGATTTGGTGGCGAAAGGAGGAGGATTGGAGGTTGGATTATTTTCGGTTGGGTGGGTCGAGACGGAAGAGCCTAATTATGGGTTGGGTTAGGTTGTATGATGTGGCGGGTTTTGCTGACATGGCGAATCGGGGGTTTATGACGTGGCGGGCTAAAAATGGGTGAATCAGCATTTCTGTTAGTCATGTCAGCTTAATACTGACGGTGTTAACGTTGCCTAACAGAAAGTGACCAAACGTGAAACGTTTAATCACTTTCAGTGATCCCATGAATGTAATAAAATACTTTTAGTGACCAAACGTGAATTATGTAGCACTTCCAATGACTAATTTTGCAATTTACCCAACTTTTATGTATAAATATTCTCACGTGTCTGTACTCCTTATCCTTCCAATATTTCCTCTTCTTTATAGGGTCATTGACAACGAAACCTAAAATCATTATGCACGATCTACTCACCATTCACCAATGCATAATCTCTATATCATTTCTCAAATATATATAACACATCTTTCACAATCATACATCTCAAACCCATTAGCTTATTAACTTATTTGTTATGGTTGTTTGGATTACAATTCCTTCTGCATTCGTGGAGGAAACATGCGGATACTTCAAAATCTCTTTAAAGTTTAGACACATTATCTTTTCCCTCAACACCCACCACCAACTATTCACAGCAAATACTCTGTTTAATACACGTGTATTTTATCCAATATCCATTCAAAACTTTCGTATCCGTATTATTTTAAAGCCGTTTCATTTATATCCTTTCATTTGATGGCTTCCGTACTAAACATGTATAAAACCCGTATAACACGTTTAATATCCGTATTTAATGAATTAAATTGTTAACTTTACTATTATTTATATATATTTATCACTATTAACGTACTATTGAACGCCACATTATATTAGAGACAAAGTAAAATACCCGTACGTATTTTATACGTAACTTTGTCGTACCGTATTTTACTAACTATGCTGCTTCATTGAATGTGGTGCCAAGAGCAATAATCGAACCAACACGAGCCATCAAATTCGGTCTGAATTCCAATGCTTGAGGCTATAACTTTAAGCAAATACATAAATCATTTCTATTGGCTCTGTCTCATCTGTTCTTTGCTGACGACTTGATCATGTTTGGTGTGGCTTCTCTTGAACAGGTACAGATTATCAACAAGTGCTTCGAAGACTTCGGAACAGTAACCGGGCAACATGTTAGCATACCAAAGTCGAGGTATTTTTCTCAAAAAATGTGGATGGAGCTGTTAGCACTCTATTAAGTGGGGCCCTGAACATCCCCGAGACAAAGAACCTGGGCCGCTATTTGGGGGTACCAGTCATCCATGACAGAGTCTCCAAGACGATATTCACGGAGCTGGTAGATCGGTTCGACTCAAGACTTGCAGGCTGGAAAGTGAAGTCCTTATCTATGGCAGGAAGAATCACGCTAGCCCAGTCTGTGCTATTGTCTCTACCTGCATACACCATGCAGACTTCGTGGTTACCTGTTGCACTTTGAGAGTACATTGACAAAAAAATAAGGGATTTTATATGGGGTAGCTCGGAACAAGGCAGGAAGATTCACTTAGTTGATTGGGACACAGTCTGCTTGCCAAAAGAGGAAGGGGGCCTTGGACTTCGCAGTGCAACTCGAATGAACGAAGCCTTTATGATGAAGATTGCATGGCGCCTACTCACAGAACCAGAAGCTCTTTGGGCTCGGGTGGTTCGAGCAAAATACTTGCGAGCCACCGCGGCCGGATGGGAGCCAAGGACGCAAGGCAGGATGTCTAATTTGTGGAGAGGAGTGTTACATATTCTACATCTCCTTCCCCAGGGAATTATGTGGCGTATCAAGAGTGGAGGACAAACAGCATTTTGGACAGACTGTTGGCTCCGTGATGGCCCGCCATTGGCCGAGTTCGCGATCAACTTACCAGCTGAAGCGTTGGATTTGACTGTAGCTGACATGGTTTTGAATGGAAGCTGGAACATGGACTATATTCGTGCTTTCCTACTGGAAGAATGGGCGTCTCAAGTGTACCTCCACCCACCATCCAATGAAAAGGTACCGGATACGCCGTCCTGGCGGTCGACAGCTTCCGGCGAGTTCTCAATTAAGTCAGCCTACCTGCTGACAGGGGTAAACGAAGAGGCAGGTGGCTTTTGGTCGGTTTGGAAAGCATTGTGGCGAGTACAGGGACCACAGAGGATGAAGACATTCCTATGGTTGGCAATACATAACCGCCTGATTACGAATGGGGAGAGATGTCGCCGACATCTAGCGCAGTCATATCATTGCCCGGTCTGTGGTGGGGGCTCGGAGACTGCTAAACGTGTTATTTGAAACTTCCCTTATGTCAGAGATGAATGGTCGGAAGTTTTGGGGGAGGAACCTGATGAGCGGTTCTTTGACGAGGACGTGAGCAAATGGGCACTTCATTATCTTACGGGTCGGAGCTGCATCATTGACCCATCTCTGTTTGCGATTTTCGTTTGGAAACTTTGGCAGAATAGAAACAGTTGGGTGTTTGAAAAGACTCTCGTCCCGGCAGCACAACTCGCCCAGCAAGCGCTGCTACTCCGCCAGCAGGTGGAGATGGCTATCTCGAAGGCGACGTCGGCTTTGGGGGATAAGGCTGCAGGTGTAGTGCACCTGCTCAATTGACAAATGCCACCAGGTGGACGGTTCGCCTTGAATACGGATGGATCAGTTCTAGGGACACATGGAGGGACGACATCAGGAGGGGTGATTCGGGGGAGCGATGGTAGATTTGTTAAAGCTTTTGCTGCTAATTTAGGAAGGGTTCCGTCACTCATGCAGAATTGGCAGGTTTGATCCATGGCCTCCGAATGGCTTGGGAGGTGGGAATTAGGAAGTTGATTGTCCAATCTGATTCTATGACGGCCTGCTAGTTGATCAA